AAAAAACAATATTTCCCAAATAAAAAGATAAAATCATCATGCAATCACAAAACAGTCATACTGTTTTATATTTTTATTCTCTAAATTTATTATAATAATATATAGAAATAATATATTTATCCATACTTCATAATATTAAAAGAAGACTAAAGTATAGAAAGACAATTAAGAAGACTGTAAACTCCTAAAAATTGATCTTTTGATCCAAAAAACATTTAGGAATATCTACATGTATTAATTCCTATTAAATTAGTACTTGATTTATTACAGGAATTTTTAAGAAAATTTATTAAAGGTCTTAGCAATTATATCCATATTTCAATTATATTGATAATCTTTGTTTTAATTATGCAGTAAAATATTGAAAAAAATTAAGTTTCTTGTATATTTAAGTAAGTTATTTTATCAATCAGAATTTTATTCTTTACATCTATATATATAAAAACGAATGTATGTCTGTCTGTGTCCTTCATGCATTACTACATCATTTGTCCGATTGCCAATTTATTTGGTAAGTTGTTTAATACACTCCCGCGAAGGTTTCTGGCATAGTACATTTATCCTACAATAGATGGCGCGCGTATATACGAGCATTTCATCATGAGCATTTCAGCATGGTTAGGAGTTAAAACTTGAAATTTGGTACACAGTTAGGGTACATCACAAGAACGCACACTAACAAGGGATTTTTCAAATCCCCCACGGGGAAAGGGACAGGATTAAGGCTTCAACAAAGGAAGTGTTAAGAAAAAGCAACATGCAAGATTTACAGACACAGATGTAATTTTTTGCATTAAATCAAACATAATTTTAGACCCATCTAAAAACTTTCTAATTGGTCTGGAAACAGGGGAACCTAATTCTTGCATTCTGTGAAAATGGGTAAGATTGGCTGTAATGTAATAATCTTAATCTTTGCTATCGTTACTTTTTGCCCAAGCAATGCAGGGCTTATCTGCTAGTAGTTTATAAAATACTAGTGAAAAAATAAACCAAAAACTAGGGATGTGGATCAAGAGAAAAAGACACTACTCCCAACTAGGTATTTTTTAAAACTGACTCTGACTTTCATAAAAAGATTCAACTCCTCAACTCCTGGCTCTCCATTCCTGCCAAAAACTACACTATAGATATAAGCTAACATTTATTAAATCAAAATTTTTTAATTTCAAAAAAACAAGATTGATGATAAATAATTACAAATTAATTTTAGATTAAAGAAAAAAATACTATTGAAAGCAACTAGCATTTACTACTAGTAACACATAATAAAAAATAAAATATCTTAGTACAACAATAGAAGTAATCTATAGAAAAGACATTACATATTCAAACTGATTAGTAATGAAAGTATTTGTTTCAATTTGGAAATTTTTAAAGTATTTACTGCTTATTAAAAAAAATACCTGTCTCTCCCTAAGTCTGGAATTATAGGAATTATGTTAATTTTTTTTGTTCTTTAACATGTAAAGCATGGCACTAAGTAAGGACAAACAAATTCAAGTTATCTTGATGGATTGGACCACTAGTCTGTGTAAAGTTGTTGAAGAGCTTAACAGATTACATCCAGACCTCTGGATGTGATGATGGGAAGTCTGAATGAAACCTGTAACTTCAAGTTGACTGAAGGTCCTAGACCATCAAAATAATTTGCATTTGTTCCTTCTTATTCAACACCATACTTTACATATAAAAGGATAAACATAGATCAACATAACTCCTATGATTCCAAACTTATGGAACATCCTGTCTTTTTGTTCTAACAATTAAACAGAAAAATGCTCTTTAATATGATTCAGATTTTAAAGTATTGAAATTTACTTTCCAACCTACATGAAAACCCTAGACACAGGAAAAAATGTTTTAAAAAATTTAAGTTTTATAATATATTTCAATATAACAATATAAAACTATTATTCAGTTTACAAATTCAAAATAAACTGAATAAATATTAATTAAAATGCTAAACAATTCATAATTCTCAAAAACTTCACAATTCAATTTAAAAATTTAAATAACTATCCATCTTGAATTATTGTCCTACTTCTAATGAATCTATGAGTACTAAGTTTTTGGCTCAATGGAGAACTTATCACACACTACTGACATTGTCAAAATAATTTCACAGAAATGGGTAGACACAGGTTTATAATGACAATAATACGCATTTTGGACAGGCTGTCTATCCCTCTTCAACTGTATTTGTTGCAATTTTGTGGGTTTACAGGAGTCTACAAAAATACAAGCAGTTTTTTGCTACAAACATTTGGGTTTATGATTTAGATTCATATAAAGACAAAATGTAAATCACCAGTCCTACTTCTTATTCACAAAATTTATAAACATTTGTGTTTTCAACCATTATCAAGGGTACAAACTCATTTAGAATGAATCTGTACCTCTGAAGATTTATCAAGTAATGCTTGAAAAACAAGATGGGTATATTTGTGTTTTAATTCAAAATTGCATATATAAAATAATTATATTTCCTAATAGGTTTTGTAAGGCCAATACACCAAAAATGTTTAAAAATTACAAGAAAAATGTTTTGCTGCAGCAAAAACAAAAGTAAGTAGCAAAAACGTTCAAGTACTTTCAAATACAAAATACTCAAAATCTTTAAAAACAATCCTAGCATATAATGCTTTAATACTTAATTAAACTATTCTAAAAAAAAGAAACCTGAAGATGTTCCAAAATATTTTTTTGAATTTTTAATTTATATGTTTATTTGTAATAAATAATTTTTCAAAACAAAGCAACAGATTTTAATTTGTTCAATTCTTTAAATAACTATTTTTCATTTAGAATTTTTTGATTCTTAATGGTTAGTATACAATATGCAAAAGCACTTCAACTTTTTCTTATATTTTTGCTGCAATAAAGCATTTTTACTGTGCATTTTTTTTAATACTTAAATATGAAAGGATGTTAATTTATATAAATAGATAAATATGATAAATGAACAAACCTACATATGTTTAATTTAAATACGCAAGCCTCTCTTTAACATAAAATAAAACAAATTTTTACTCAACAAAGCATAACTCACAATAAGTGTCTTAAATTCATATTACTATGTACTAATAATAATAAAAATAAGCAAACACTATACTGGAAATTAGATAAATAATAATAATAATATCATTAAAAAATATGATATTCAATGAAATTTAAAGTTATCTAATTTAAATATTCTTTAAAATATATTGTGATGTAACAAATTTTAAATTCAAACATTTTTAGTTATTTAAACAAATTTAATTTAGAAGCACACATCAGAAAGGTAAAGGAACTACCAGAAATGTTAGCATTACAATTTGAACAAAAATTATTTTATGCTGAATAAAAAAACCTGTTTAATGACAATGGATGAAGACTTGTTTAATGCATATATGTATGTTCTTTTAATAAGATGGATGTATATATGTACATTATTTATTATATAATTATGTCTGTTAAATATGCATGCATATTTAATTTTTATATTCTACGTCATTATTAATTATAAGCATAAATTTAGATAATTAGTTTAAAAACCTAAAACCTAAATTTTTCAATTTTCTTACTATATAAATGGTACTTATAAATTCTTTAAAGAAATCATTAATTTTTTCCACTTGTTATAATGCCATCAGAATCAAAGTAATAGCTATCGAAAAACTAAAATTCAGCCTCAAAAATTCTTCAGTGTATTTTTATACTGATATTTTTAATTACATTACAAATTTAATTGTGTAGCTAAGTCTATATTTATATATCTTCAAATAACTTTTGTAAAATGAAAGTTATTTGATTATTTCACTAAGAAATTTTTTTTTACAATTTAAAATCTTTACGAGTAATTCATTTTTTACCAAAATACTATAAAATATTACTATGTACTAAGAATAATAAAAACTGTTAAGAAGGGTCCCTTTAGCTGGAAGATTCAAGAATACAGGTTGAGGTGGTTTGGCCACATAGAGCGAAGTAGCAAAGATTATATTGGAGAGAGGGTCGAAAAAGTGGTAGCGAAAGGAAGAAGAAAGAGAGGAAGACCAAGGCTGTGTTGGAAAGATAAGTTGGAGGAAGACTCGAATCAGAGGGAACTTAAAAGAGATGATGTCCTTGATAGGAAGAAATGGAGGAAACATATTAGAGAAGGAAACACCAACCCATATAAACATAGGAAAAGGCAAAGATGAAGAAGACGACTATAAAATGTTTTGATGAGTTAAAAATATTATAAAGTGTATTTTGTTTTCAATTTTTTATAATAATTGCTAAGATTTCCATTCGGTATTAATATCAAATTTCAAAATCATTTCCAATCTAACAGATTCCTTTTCACCAACATTAAGATTGCTAAATAATTTATTTGCAGAGTCATTATCCATCGAACTATAAAACGGCATACATCTAAATCCAATGAATTTTTTATCTGAAAAGACTACGGTTTATTTAATTAAGGAAGAAAAAATAAAATAAAATGTATATTTTAATTTTAAATATAAAAGATGTAATCAGAAGACTTTAGCGTATATCTTTTTAATTTCTTTCATAAAAATTGATGGAACGTATGTAATTCTTCATTAAATTTCTTTTATTACATAGTAATTCTGAAAGAATACCAAAAATAAATATTTAAAATACACACAAAAAAAAGGAAATAAGTGTATTTTGTGAAACCACAACAGATATAATGGAAATAAAGTAAAACTACGTTATATTAATGTGTATAATTAAGAGTGATTAATCAATAACTGCGATTTTTATTATTTTGTTTATTTAAAAGCCGTTCTTATGTATTGTGAAAAAAATTCAATCTGATCGAGCTGCTGACTAAAAATAAACGTTGTTTATATTCTTTTGTGTAACATACACTGGAATAATACGTAAGAGATGTTAAGAAATGAGTAATAACTTCGCTCAAGATGCATAAATTAGAGAGAAAATAAAATGGTATTTGCATGCTACAGTTAAGCCTAAGCCGGAGTTTGAATAAAATTGTAACTTACCGTTTCACTAGCATCGATTTCAATCTTAAAAGTTTGTTGTTGTAAAGTTTTTAACGTTATAATCATTTTGTATTGCAAATTTTGATAGATGACTACTTCTTAATTGAGGGTTAACAAATTAAAAGCGTTATCTTCATAACAAGTCAGCAACTTCAACGAATAGTCGCCATGAAAGTTCTGACGTCATCTGCTCTTGTCCCATTTAATTTTATTAATTTCAATTGATTTTTTCAATTTTAAACGATAATAATATCGCTTATTTATAATAATGTATAATTTTAATTTTTTCAACATCGTTTATTCTTTCGTAAATTAATGCGTTATAATAAAAACAATTCGTCTTCGGTGACGCCACATCCGGTAGGTGTTCTAAATTTGATAAACCACGTGTATGAGAAAAGCAAGCTATTGTTAGCATTTGTCATCCATTTCGTGATTGAAACGTGTTAAAATCTGGATAATAAATTTGTTTCTCGTTTCTTTGAAATGGCCGGTTGAATGCAACTTTTAAAAAACGTTGCATAATTTATTACGTTTTTTTTAAATGGTTCGAATTAAAAATCTCCGCATTTCATTTTAAGGCTTAAATATACACAGTAAAATTACTGAAATTACGTTTGCTTATTTAGCAAAATGCATGAACTTGCAATGTATAAGTCAACTTCTATTTCTAGTGAATCTGGCACTGAAATAACCAGTATTACTCAATTATCCGACTGATTTGGAACATTGTTTTTTCAGTTGTTTTGCGTTTCAGCATTTATTCTCAAAATGGCTTGAGCTTTAAAAATTATATATTTGAGTGAAAATAAAATTTGATCTGTTTACATCGATTTGTGGAAATTCGTGGAAAATATGTTTATTATATGTGAATATATCTAAAAGATTTAAAATATTATTTAATATATTAAATCTACATAATGTTTATCATTCGAATATCAATGAATGCTAAACATTATATAGAAAATATTAAATTCATGCTTAATTTAGAGCATTAATGTACAACTTATTAAGTTGTCATTAGATTTGATTTCTTTTCAAATTCTTTGTTTATAATTTAATGTTTTCAATATGTGGGAAATTGATAAATCTATAAAGGAGAGTAATTTTAGCCAATTTTTCTCAGATGTGTTTATTTTTATTAACGGTTATTTAAAGAAGATTTTCAACAAGAAAGGATTGTTTTGATATTATATAGCTTTTTATAAATATCTTGCATATAGTAAATATCAACAAGCAAACAAGGGCTCAATTTTTTTTCTAAATTGAAAAAATATGTTTAAATATAAGTTAAAAAATTTGAGTGTTTTTGGAATTTGTCCAACATGCTTCAGCTTTTAATATTTATATTATGCAATATAAATTTTTATGCCTTCTAGTATATATATATATATATATATGTAATGTCTTCAACAATGATTTGAAAGAAGTGTTCCTCAGGAATCTTCATTAGATGATATTTCTTATTTTCTTATTTATATAAGTATAAGAAATATCTTCTAATAAAGTTCCTAAGGAATACTTTCAAATGCAGAGCCATTTAAGTAAGTGGAAGAAAATATTTATTTACTGAATTTCATTATATACTTAATAATGAATTTCAGAGAAACAAAAATAACAATAAATTATACTTATATGCTCTTTTTCTAGATTTGAAAATGTGAATTTAATAAGATTTTTATAACTACTCAGTCTTAGCTGTTTGACTTTTTTTTAACTAGACACATCATTCCACATAAAGATTCATTCTTCATACATGATTTATTTAAGGAAGCAGATTTAGCTAGGTAACAAGTACATAAATATATTCATATGTATTCTAAATAAATATTTTGTACAAAAAATTTTACTTGGAAATATATGTAATAAATACCTAAACAATGTAATATGTACTAGTTTTTCCTCTTTTCACATATAATTACAAATTAAAAATTATCACAACTCATTTTTATTGCATTATTATTATTTGATTTCATTTTAAAATATGGTAACAAAACTGTTTTGCTAACACATTATTCATTGCAGCACCATAAGCATCCCTGGATACTCCCAATTTCACTGAAAACAATATTAATTTATATGAAAAATGCAGAATGTAAATTATTATTTTGTCATAATCAACTTTTAGAAACTAAATAATTTATAAATTATTTTACTCATTTTTCATGTTTAACTTATAATTAAAAATAACACTCACCAATGCCAAAATCCAACATGTAGAAATTTTACTAATGTTTTCATTTGTTTATAATGGACATCTTCAGATTTAATTCCACAGAACAGTTGTTTATTGTAACTTTACTGTTCTGTGGAATTAAACCTGAAGATGTCTATTATATATAGTTGAAAACATTAGAGTACAGTAAAACTTCTACATTTTGCTGGATTTTGGTGTTGGCGACTGTTACTTTTGAATATCTATCCAATTTTTTAACTTATAATGTTTTCATTAAGATTTATAAATTAAATTCATCATGTATATATGTAACTTTATAAATCTTAAATAAAAAGTTACCTAATAATCCAGATACAGATAATTTAATAAAAGCTTACAAGTAGATTATCTGGATTATTATGATAATGTTTTTAACTTTATTATATTATTTTTATTTTGTATATGTACAAATCATATGCAAGTATATGCTATATTTTCAACAAATCATTATTATATCTAATTCAAATACCTCTGAATTTATCATCAGTTTGAATATCATTAAAATGATATTCAAAAAGAAATTTTATGCTATTTACAATGCTATTATTATGAAAATAATATATGTATAATTTTTCATAATAATAGCATTTACTATTCTAAGAATATATGTTAATGAATAAAATTATAGAATAATAATATTTAAAAATAAGAAGAATTTAAGATAACACCATTCTTGTTGGTATAGCAGAAAAGATAGACATGTAAGAAGATAAAAGTTCTTTCAAATTCTATTCTAGCAGAAATTAAGATTAATGAGAAGTGGAAGTGATGGAACATTATATGTAATTTTTTTTTTTTTTTTTTTTACAGAATAGACAATGCAAGAGAGTACTGGAAAAAGAAAGAACAGATTAATTCTATAAAAAAAAAAATGTTATAACTTACAAAAGATTATAAAGGATAAATAAAAGTCATTGACAAAGAAGATTAGAATCTCAAGAAAATGGTTTTTTTCTACTATTAATATAGCAAGAACTGTATAGTAAGCATTTGTAGTGCATTAGGCAAATCTTTCATTTAGAAAATAATTTGACACTATTATTCAGAGAATTTATTTTAATAGACATTATTTTGGTACCCTAAGCAATTATCTGCAGTACCTACTAATCATGACAGCTATGTATACAAATATATATATATATACAAGCTGGACATTGAAGAAGAATGAGAGAAGAAAATTGATGCATTTAAACAATGGATCTGGAAAGCAATTAATTAAACTACCATAGACTTCAACAAAAGCAAATTAATTAGCACTATATCAAGCAAGCACTTTTTTTTTAGTATTTAGGGCTTGCAGATAATGGCTTGGAAAAAATATTTACTTTGGTAAAATTTCAGAAAATAGAAAAATCAGATTAAAATCACAATAACAGATGCTAAAATGACTTCACTGGAAGACCATACTAAAGACAGCATAGAATGGCATTTTGTTAATATAATTATTAAAAGAGTAATTCAACTCAACAGGACATAAAAACAACCTATTAATTTTAATTCCAAAAAAAAAAAAAAAAAACAGAATTAATAAATCTAGAAAAACAAATGATTCTTTAAAAATTTAATTCTTTAATTAAGTTTTCATACATCTTAGCTTTTTGTTTTATAAATTAGTTAAATATTTATCAAATCTTCAAAATGTCTTTTTGATTTGCTTTTATTTTTTTAAGAATGCTAAGATTTGTTGTTAATTATGAATACAACAATTATTCATTCCTCTAATTTATGTTTAAATAAAAACAGGATTACAATATAGAAAAATTCATCTAATCATTTAAAAAGTAAACAATTGCAAATTTATTTTATAAAAAATTTATTTTTAAATAATATTATAATTANTTTTGAACAATACTAAAATAAAATATTAATTTTAATTATTAAAAAAAAAAAGGAAAAAATTGATTTTCAGTTGAAATTTTTAAAAAGTTTTGTATATATCACTTTCTTGAACTATTTGATATTACTGTATAGTAATAATTATATATCAGCATCAATGTAATTTATGATAGTGTATCAAATCAAGTAGAGTATGAATTGTACTATCTAAATTCAGCCACACACAGGGTCGACGACAGGAAGAGGAAGCAGGAATTGTATCTCTGGGGCCTGGTTAAGAATCTAACTGATAAAATTTTAAAGTAATTATAAAGTTTAGAAAATCAATTTATATATTTTCATGTGTAAAATTGAAATAAATACATGTGTGATAACTCAAGAGCATAATGTCAGAAAATCTACAGAGAAGCCAGAAAGGCTGTAGCTCCAGGACTGTTATCACTTTACGCTCCAGTCTCATGGGGACCAGGCAAATTTGAATTGGGGAGGCCCCCCATGTACAGTGTTGATTTCAAACATTTTTCTTCAGGGGCATTTTTGGGGGATTCCAGATATCCTTGTTCTTTTTTTTAACACAACCTCCAGTGGGTTGTCCTGTGCTGCACCTGTGCCACACTGGCAATCTAGGGTCCCAGATTTGGCCCAAATTTAAATTTTGACATTATTACTATGGTAATGAGATTATAAAAAATTGGTTTGGGGCTCACTGTTGTTGGAGACCTCAATACTTGCCCTTTTTTCCTGTTGGATAATGTGCCACTGCTAGTCACATACATGCAATGTTACCAATCCGAAGCAAAATTATCTTCCAGAGTCTGCTATTTAACCCTAGATTTTTAATGACCCAAACTTTACATTTTTAAAATATGAAATACAGCCCTCTTGTACATTTTTCCAGAAAAATAGGAAAAACATATACAAGTGAAACTATTTTTGAACTACTATCAGAGTGAGTATAGTCGTCACAAAAGTACGGCAAATTAACACTGTACAACTGAATTTGAACGTGTAGTTTTTAAGAAAATTTCAATTTACTACATATGTAATATATTCAAACAATATATGAAAGGAAAGTAACAAGTATAAACTATTTGTTCTTGCAAACAATATAATTCTATCAAAGCTTATAAAATTGAATGATTTTGGAAGAAACCTTTCAAACTTCGAGCTGCAATTTGAAAAAATTGTAGACCTATAAATTCTCACTGTCGTTGTCTGTCCTTCCTTAATCTCGAGAACGGTGTTAAATGAAAGACGAGACCAGACATGGAAAGCTTAAGGGCAGGAGGCCCCAATTAAGTATATACGAACTTCCCGTTTCCATCGGAAGTCATGCTATTTCAATTCCAAAATTTTTCCCTGAAAGGAGTTATATGTATAACTGGCACGACTCTATTGCTAGCAGGAAAAGTATGATGTACAGGGGCAAGACACTTAATTTGAGGTGAAGCGCATATATTTTTAATTAAATGAATTAAAAATTGCAGCCCGACATTATTGTGACGATATCACTATAAATAATTGCTCGTTTGAGCGGGTGTATAGTACGACGGAAGTAGTACTTGTTTGAAAACAGGAAACAATTCACGACATATCTTAAATGTCGTGAATTATATTGTCCTTTAATGTTTTTTAAATGTCCTATTATAAAGTGGCATTTATTGGTTACTTTTTAAATTCTCTTCGCCCTGTGGGCACTAAGAGGGCTTTTTTTAGCAAGCCCATTATGGGTTAGGCCAGGTCCACAATGGGGCAGCCGGGTGATGAGAGATGGGGCATGACACATCCAGAGGTTCAGCCCCCGAAAAATTTGGCGGACAGGTGCGCGCTATATACTCGAAAAATTCATGGGGATTTTTCGACCCGTCCGGATTCGATTCTAGTTCCCCCCCAGAGCGGTAAGCTGCCACCTTAACTGCTCGGTCATCCAACTTACAGCCAGGACTGTGACGATGTCGCAATAAATAATTGCTCGTTCAAATATAAATATTGTTTTAAAATAATAAATATATGTAGTACATATTCCATCGCGCTTATATTACAATTCGATGAACTAAATTTTATCAGTGATGAAATAGTAAAATAGGAATTCAACATGTATTCTTCATTTCTTTAAGGGAGCCAGTGCCAAATCCTTAACTACGTCGTCAGAATCGAATTTTTCGCATATTTGTGTTGTATGGACAATAGATTCGGGAAGGTATTTACACATTGTAATAGAGTCTCATTAGTTATATCAATGTAGCGTAGACACGAAATATTCGAATTTCGTCTTATGAATCGTCATCTTTATATCGCGATTATATTCGTTATTCGATGCTAAATCTAAATGCATAAATGATTCACAAGGTCGTCCTCGTCTTTAATATAGAAATGTTGCGAAGGCAACCAAAAATGGCCCTTTGCTCTTTAAAAAGTACAGATTATTCCTTGGTATATTATTGCTAAAAACAATAGTTTCTGTGGAACTGTGTTTCGGGATTATTTGTATGCGTATCCGTTTCTTCGTAATCAAATAAACGTTCTCGTTTTCTCCATCCGAATACAAGAAGAATTTTTTTACCATATTCTGCGTTATAAATACTTAAACGTGATACAAGGAAGCTACTGTGGTTTAATGCATTTCCTGTGAGCACAACGTCACATTACCGCGAAAACTTTAAAAACCAAAAAACTAGACTCCTGAAGGGCGGGCCACCTTTAGACACTTGGTCCGTTGCCCGGCTGTAACGACGGCACCGAACAAAGCCAAACGTTTCCATTAATTCCAATGTAAAAGTGGACGATACGCATACATTAGCAGATGCAGTGCCAGCAATTCAGGGGTTTCTCCCATAGCGTGATGTAAAATTCAATAATAGTCTGTGGGGGCAAGATATTTTTTACAAAATTTGAGAATTTTAAAAATTTCTGAAATTTTGCCGTTAGATTTTTTATTTCGGCCATTTGCTTTCGATATGTTTAGGAAAATGAGAACACTGAGTAGGAAGGAATGGCTGCATCGTATCTTTTGAACCAACCCGAAGACGTAAATTATAAATGATGGAAAAAATAAAGAATGTTTGAAAAGTCCGGAAATAATGTTTGCACTTTTCGACTTTTGATGTTCAACTGAAAATTATTCTTCGGTTCCAATCGACACAAACAGTTTTTTGCAGTGCAAGAATAACAGAAGGATACAAAAGTATCGATTGAGCAGTCATCCAAGTCCTCAGTTGTTCGTTTCGCAAAGTTTTTTTTCGAGAGTTTTCTCTATTCTTCTGCATATAAATACATTTTCTGATTCGTTTCGTCGAGCTGTCTCCAACGGCGTTTTTTCTTTTCTGGATCGAGTGTTTTTTCCAGAACTACGGGTTCCGGAAATTTGCTACTTCTAACTGCTTTTTCCGACGTTCGGCCGAATGTAAGTTGTAATTTCCGATTTCCTTTGTCTTTATTACTCTTGGTTTTTCTCCACCGTGAAGAATAAGGCTTCTACTATTTTATTTTAAATGTCTTTTCTGCATTTATGCAAGAAATCGAACATATTTTTAGACCCTTCTCAACGATATTTAGCGTTTCATCGTATATAAAGTTTACTCGGGGAGTTGGCTTTATTCGAACTCTTCGTCTTAATGTTCGATTTTATATTTATAAGATTTGGGAAGATCCAGCATATTTTTCGAATTTAGTATACCTGAAAAAGAACCCAGAAGGGGCTACGAAAACGTTTTTTATTAATCACTTAGCGGTTAGTGGTTGCTGCCGACCTTAATTGTCGTTATCCCAGTGTGGTAAGCAGATAGCTAAAAATTTTATACTTAGTATCGAAACCTAATTGTTGCACTCGGTGAAAACGGGTAAGATCGGCTATAATCTACTAACCTTAATCTTTGCTATCGTTACTTTTTCCGAGCAACGCCGGGCACATCTGCTAGTTTACAATAACAGTATTAGCAACACCCCCGAACCTCGAGTATTTATGGGTCGTCGTTGATCAACGCCTAACGTGGCCTGGCTTAACCCGCAACAGGCTTGCTAAATAAAGAGGCCCTCTTAGTGCCCAGAGGAGCGAGTGAAAAAATAAATAAATAAAACCCTCGGAGTGGCAGGTGTGCCTTTGCACTTTAACTGTTTCTCTAAAATTATCCTTTCTTAAAAGGAATGCGCTTACAAAAGAACAGAAAAAGATTAGATCTGCAGAAAGTGTTTTATTTTTGCAAACATTATGTTTTTACAAATTACATAAGTTTTATTCTTTATCGAGACATTTTTAAACAGACTTTTAATAACATTTATATAGGTCCAAACACATATTTCAATGTGTGCGAGAGCTCTCGACTATCGCTTGGATGCCTTAATTAGGCCGTAACAATTACTATTAATGTTTTACAAATATTATATACAACAACTTATATTGAGATTAAAATTATTAATTAATATATTAATAATCAATTAATTTATCAAACGTTTTATGTATAAAATCTTTGTTTTGCAATTAATCCTTTTACTAGTGTCCGAATAACAAATATCAATTTGTTGAGCGTGTCGTTCCAATAACAAATTAAAACACAATTCCGGAGAGTCCAAGTTCCAGGGATGACAAAAATTGGGAGTCAAATTTGAGCACAGACACAAGCCGGAAGAGTCCAAATTCCAATATAGACAGGATTCTGAAGTCAAATTCGAGATAGACGTAATTCGGGAGAGTCCATATTCGAGTGCAGACACCATTCATGAGTCAAATCCGGGGTTGACATAATTCGGGAGAGTCCAATTCGAGTACAGGCACAATTGAGGAGTCAAATTCGGGGTAGACGTAATTCGGGAGAGTCCAGATTCGTGAAGTAGACATAAATCGAGAGTCCAAATTCGTGTAGACCAATTCGGGTAAATGATAATTGACTAAAAGACAATAATAAGGAGACACAGCCGGGATAAAGTCAAAATTGGGAAGTCATAATCGAACTTGGCATTGACGCAATCGGGATGTCAAAATCAGGAGAAGTCATCGATGGTTTGCAGAAAAAACCATATCTAAAAGTGAATGAAAAACCAATATTTTAATTTTTACTTATAAATTGAAAATTATTTTTGCAATTTTTAGGAGCTTTTTAGATTTTATTTATTAATTTTTAAACTTTATCATTTCTTTTTGTTATTTTTTGAATATTTTTAAATGAAAACAAAATTAAGAATATTATTTCCTTCTAAAATGGAAATAAAGTTACGTGCCAAATGATATTGCTTACCGCAATTAATTGCATACTGCCACGTGTCATGTATGTATCAAATATGTCATTGTCAATTCCATTATTTTAACATGTTCCCGTCCGCGTAATCACGTAAGATTACTGGATAATTTAATTTCTACGTTCATTTATACCATTGCTTTCGCTGTGTCAAGAGACCAGCAACTTATACCCAGGATGTATTATTGTGAGTACTTGGACAGGAATATACAGGCTATGTATGCCCGATACCCTACAAACGTGGCTTTTCTGTAATCGCATCGAAATCGATCGCATCAAAATATAATACATTTCCACGCTAATACCGTATATAAATATTTCCATTTTTTCTGTTGTCCGGCCATTAATTGCGGGTTATTATGAAATCGCGGTTAGTTGTTGTGTCAATTTATAAACCCAGACCGTAAAATCTCCCAAGTGTTTGGTGTAGAATACAATAAAGTTGCCATACACACTTACAATTAGCCAACTCGACCCAGATCCAGCAAATAACAGAGCAGATCTTTATTGTCGAATTTGACAGATGGAAGCAAAGAGATCCTTACTCGAACCGAACGTACTCGCATTCTCCACTTCTGGCCATTTTACACACCTTCTGCACGGATCTAAATGTAGAAAAAGAAGTATAATTATTTTTGGAAAACGTATAACTCCATTTGAATTCCATTAAAACATATTGCGGCGCTGTATCGATAGGCTGTAAATGTTAACCTACAAAGAACAAAAGTTGGATTATGAAAATTTTCTACTAATTCATTGGTTCGGTGACGTTTTGAATTCAACTTTTCATCCAATCAGTAATGACACGGACGAATAGGCCGATACAGCGCCGAACAATACGGGAAAGTTATGCGATTCGCAAACATTTCCAACTCAAATCTTAATGCTATAAAAATTTTTGGCGTAATCGATACTTGGGCTTAGCGCCACACTCGATTTATTGCCAATTTCAGAGGCTAAATCGTACAAAATCTTACCTCTTAACGGGTTTCCACATGCTCTTAAAGAACGACCCGACTTTCTTCAATGTATTTCTATCCCTGGAATGGCCAGGATTATCTTGCACGCAATCTTCGTGCTCTGCCGGGTCTTCGTTCTCTTTGGTGCTTCGTGGAGGAATCACGCTCTCTCTATTGTTCACTCCTTCATCCTCCACATCTTCGACCAATCTCTCACTAAACAAGGAAAGAAATACAATAAATATATAATTTTGGAATTGAATTACGATGAATATTTATAAATGGTAACACTTGGAAAACATTTTCTTTAATTTCCCATCAGGGCAAGAAACTATTAAACTTATTACTATTTATCGAAAAATTAAAACGATGATTCCTCGTATTTCTCAGAATAACCCCTCGTTAAACAGCTCGTACATATAATATACACAAGTTTATTACATACAAACAGTAATGTAATTTACCTGTTAAAACGTTGGCAGGCCGTCTGACAGATTGGTCGAACCTTCATCACAGCTTTTCTATAAGCAGGCTTGATGTTATTTTCAAAAACGTCCAAACCTTCGAAAGCACCGGTCGAGGGTTCGTACTGCTTCGAGAGGCCTTTCTTCAACTTTCTGCCTCGAAACTTAACATAATCCAAATTTTGTGGACTGACGAATCTTCGCACATCCACATCCAATCCCTCCCTAAATATGCAAAGAGAAAATTCACAATACAATAACTATTTAATTCTACTCTCAAACTACATTAGATCCCCGTGCTTTTAAGTTTATTCGACAGAAGGAAAGGGCCTTTTATAAATCGACTAGTCTAAATCTTTTTCTGTTATTTTAAAAAAAGACATATTGAATATTATAATTGACATATTGAACATATTGAAACGAAGTTGGGTTTAAAATTTTAGTAAATTTCGTCATATTAACGACCTAATCCGTGATATAAAAGAGGCCCGATTACTCGTTTAAACAACAGTAAATTGAAAAGCCCTAAATTATCTTCTTAACACCAGGCCCCGAACTGTGCCTTATAAAGCCCTCTATTGCAATACAGCAATACAGGAAGACACAAAAATCGTAAAGTCTCAATCTTTACATTTAATCTAATTAGGCCTAATTATATATTGTAGATGGAAGTTTTTCTTTAAAGCCTTTAATTGCTAAAACCAATTTCTTATCCGAATAAATAGTAATGAAATGTAAAAAAATCTCTTACCCAGGAGGATGGGGCAGGGGTCGATACTCTCTACCATCAAAAAACATCTTCGAATCGCTTTCCAAATCGCACTCTTCGTCCAAGAGCAAAACTACGCAACAACAACAACATCAATTGTTGAATTCGTTTGTTACGCGTTAAAAAAAGCGGGAATTTAAGAAGAATTTTGGATTTTTTTTATAATTTCAGAATCTGACGCGTGTATAATAAAGATTAAAAAGCCACGTCACACCGGTGTGGGGATAGGGGTTAGAATAGAGACGGTTCGAAAAATGCACGTGGTGGTGCTGACGTGATGGCGGCACGAAATACAAACGTGTAAATATAGACATTTTGCGTTAACCAAGACCTTACACGGGAATATAAAACGAAATTAAAGCAAATACTTGGCGAAAATACAACAACAACTTGATATTTATACCGTAATATCGGGAGAGATGGTTATTTAATGGCCATTTCTAGAAATGATTCCATATACATAATTATAAAACAAAGCGTGTATTGTAACGTGAATCTGATGAATCACACCCGCCGAATAACTATTTAGTCGGCAACTTGAATATTAATTAAACTGATACTTAATGTCACCAAGAATATCGTGCTAAAATTCCTTTATTTCCCTCCAAGTTTTTATATGCTTAATTTAATAGAAAATCGGCTGAACATTTGTGAAGTTGTGGCAAATCTTTCTCACCAGAAGTGTTTGAATTTATAACTCTAACCATACGTTAATTTTGTCATTCCAAGCGAAGACAAGTGCACTGGTTTTAAAGCAATAATCGCATTGTCTAAGATACACTTCTCGTTAGCCCTGTTATTCCATTTGGCTCCTATTTTTGATTAATGTTTCACTTCATTAATTTTATTTAATACTTGTAACAGTTAATAATGGTTACCGAAATGTTGCTTCACGTATAAAATTTATTATTTAAAAATTTTAAAAACCAGGAAGATATAACTTTCTGGGGTCCTCAAGACCAAAGTCGCAGAAAGTTAATCTTCCGCTGTATAGTTCAGCTCGTTTCATGAATCTCTATCGGACCGTAAATATGCACAGTAGAAATAATCGGTGTATTTATTTACTTAGTTAATGAAACAGATTGTTTGATTAATCTGTGAAAAGGTCATTCCGTTACAAAAAGCCTCTTAAACTTTATACAACTTGCAGAGGCCCAATCGAGAACCGCGTATTGCCCAGTCAAGATATTTGAAATGATCTCTGTAACAAAAATTCTATTCTGGAATAATTTTCTTGGATTCTATCAAAAAGCTTATGTGGACCTACGAATCATAAAACAGATACATCTTTAGCAAATAATTAAGAAACATTAAAATTTTCCTGTTCAGATGAAACACTAAAATTGGACTTACTTTTACTTGACCGCAGAGGGGGCAAACGATACTCTTCTCTCTCCCTGGAATCGAGTGAAAAATTCCACAAATTATAATCGTAAAAGGAATTGAGATATTTAACTTTACACCCTCGATCATGAGATTCATTATCTGTCTTTTTGTATTAATGAAATACTGTATTCCAGCGGCGTTTTCAGACTATAAAAATGGAGGAATACGCTATAAAAATAGGCATTGTGCATCATGCGAGAAGCTTCAAACTCTATGATTCAACGACGGATCAACGCTCTCAAAAGACGGCACTGGTTGCACTCAAGATTACCCTGGCCTTGAAAACACGGAATGTGCTTTTGGTTAACATACGACGAAGTTGCGTGGGGCAATTGACAAATATCGTTCATTAGTTTATTTTATATTTGCAGATTATGCTTGAAGCCATGAATTTGGGGCCTCCTTGGGATAAGGAAAAAGTGCAACCCAGACGAAAAACTGGTCACTTATCCCAATGTAAGGGCGCCCCAGCTATATTCTATAATATATTTGTGAAAATCCCCAAAACTCAAATAATTAAATAAAAAAAAACAATTATTGATGTAATTATTTGTATCTAAGCTTTATCCCCTGGAAAATTTTCTTCACATGCCCATGATAATAGTAAATATAGTATATGACGGCCGGATTATAAAAACGTTAGTGGCCGGATGGCCGAGCGGTCAAGGTAGCAGCCCACCGCCTTGGGAGACCCGGGCTCGAATTTGAACGGGTCGAAAAATCCCCAGGAATCTTTCGGGGGTGGTCCGTTCGGATATGTCGGGCCCCGTCCCTGATAGCCCCATTGTGGCCCTGGCCGAACCCATAATGGGCCTGCAAAAAGAGGCTCTCTTAGTGCCCACAGGGCGGAAAGAGCATTAAAAAATTATGAAAATGTAATATAATATATAGTTGTTTAAGCACATATAATAATATGCTGTTTTGTTTTATTAATTACATTTTAAATATTTTAAAATTTAATTATTCTATCAGTATAGTGAATAACAATCTACACATATCCTTATTCCATTAGTACACTGTATTTACAAATTTTAATTATTTCAGTAATTTATATTCTTATCTAGATACGTAATTTATATAAATTAATAATACTTTTGTAATTGTATTAATAATAATTTAAAACAATATTCTAAACAATGTCAGATTAATATAATTTTTTAATTTTATTAAAATAAACATGAATAATTTCTGTACGATCTGAGTCCTCCAAGGTGCTGTTCATAAAACGTGTACGGATGAGACATCACTAATTATTCAATTTTTTCAAAGATTCTAACAAGGAAGAATACTTCAAAAGACAATTTTTGATATTTTTAAACCTCGTAAATACTAAGTACAAAAGTGAAGAATATTATTTCTCGCACTTTATCGTTTATGAACGAACTAGAGGTAACTGTACAGTTCGGTTGCGTTCCGAAACAAGTTCTGAACATACTGTGAATGACGTGTTTTCCGGTACTACTTACCACGTGTATAGCTTTGTACTTTTGAGTTGTTAACAATTTTGTTTTGATTTTAAAATGAACGAAGAGAGCAATACTAACCATTGTGCTTATTATATCACTCGAAAAAAAAGATATTGCAGAATGAGACCTGTATTGTCTCATAAATTTTGTCCTGAACATTCATTATTTGATGAAGTATTGCAGGTTTGATAGTAATTTTCTCTGCAATTTGCTTTAATCTAGTATCATTATTAGAATTTGATTACTGTGTAGTATGTAGTATATTATATATTAAAAATCTATAGATATTTACATATTTTTATTAAATTATTACTACAACAAATTAGTTAATAAATGAAGAATTTGGCAAGGTTCTAGCTCTGAATGACACGATAGCGACATCGCATAACTCGGATCGACATCCAGAGTAGTGTTTTTCAACTGTTTTCTCATTGTAGACTGATAAAATCATGGATAATTTTACATGGACCAAGTAATTATATGAATTATACTCATTTATTAAGCTTATGTATGCTTATGAAGTTACTGTACCTAACACAATATGTACAGTAACTCTAGATTACTATTTAAATGTCACCTGTTATCAACTGTGTCTGCTTCAGTATGGTCAAATATTTTTCTGCAGACCAACACTGATCTGTGGACTTCTTCTTCATCTTTGCCTTTTCCCAGGTTTATATTAGGTTGACATTTCCTTCTCTAATATGTTTCCTCCATTTCTTCCAATCAAGGACTTCTTCTCTCTTAAGTCTCCTCTGGTTCAAGTCTTCTTCCACCTTATCTTTCCAATGCAGTTTTGGTCTTTCTCTTTTCCTCTTTCCTTTTACTACCAGTTTTCCAACCCTATTTCCAACATAATCCATAATCTTCACTTCTTCATGCTACATGGCCAAACCACCTCAACCTACATTCTTGCATCTTCCTGATCAAGGAGCCCACCTTAACAGAACCTCTAATAAAATCGTTCCTTATTCTATTCTTCCTTGACACTCCACATATCATCTCAACATTCTCATCACCACCTTGGGCTCTTGTTATTGCCCATGTCTCGATCCCATATAACATTGCAGGTCTAACAACCAATTTGAACAATTTACCTTTCAGGTTGCAGTTAACTTTCTTGTCACATAACACACTGCTCAGCTTACTCCAGTTCATCCATGCACATTAAATGCTATGCTACACTTCTGAGTTCAATGCTTCTTCATCTCAACAAAGTCCCCAAGATACTTAAAACTCGAAACCAAAGGGAGCAGCACATTTTGGATTTTAATGTTGCACTCATCCCTGCCATTCAGAGTCATGTAAGCTGTTTTAGTTCTGCTAATCCTCAGTCCTTCAACCTTCAGTTCGTGGACTGAATGTTGAAAAATACTGATCTAGACGACCAATAAAGTCCAAAGAACCATGGTCTGAAATGTAACCGTTCACATAGTTTACTTATTACAAAACAGTTTTCCTGTGATTAAGTTAATCTGTCTTAATCTGTTCTTTCTCAGAGAACAGATTAAAAGAAAAATAACCATAAAAATAATAATTTACCATCATCTAAATTAGTATTGTTTTTATATGGGCTAATATCATAATGTATTTTTAATAATACCTTTTTAAATCATACAATTTTAAATTTATAGTGACTTGTAATAATTGTGTATAATTTTATTTATGTAAAAATTTATATGTAATAAGATAATTTAATACTGCAGTTTTTTTCTGTACATTTTTGTGGAACTGTATTTTTGGCATACTTTTTGTAATTAATTCAATTTATAAAATAAGCTATACACAAAAATATTTAAATATAAGTAAATCAAATTTAAGGATAATTGCTTTGTCAGTTCAACCAAATTAATCAATCATCTTTAACAGTTGGTGAAGTTTAAATAACTTCATCCACTGTTAATGATACATTGATTAATTCACCTGAGTAATCACAGTAGCTAGTTCATCCTAAGTCAGTCCACTTAATAATCTCAACATTAATATATAATTTAAATTCTAAAAATTACTATATTTAAAAATACACATACAGTATATGTATGTGTGGTGGCCTAAAGATTATTTTAATAAAGATTATATTTATTTTAAAGATTATTTTAACTGAGATTTTTGAAATAATATCAGTTAACTTTTATACCACTCTGTATTTGTAAGAGTCATGATATATCTGGTAGATTATAAACATTTTTAATAGTGAAGATATATGATTCTATTTCATTTTATTTAATTCTCTTCAGCACAAATAGATTGAATTGTCCATTGATGAAAACTCTTACTAACTTTTCTTCCACTGTTATTTAACATCTTTATTTCTAAACATCAGACAAATTGGATTGTGTACTTCCATCAAATTTAATATCCTGATCTTTTAGTGTCTTTTATTTTTCCATTTGAGACACTTTGTTGAAGTAATCCTGGATCATTTTGATTAAATTTAAATTCACATAGAATTTTCTATAATACTTTTCTTAAAAATTACATGAAGTCAAAAAATTGATGCACTTTTTGCTTTTTATTTTTTAAAGCATTAAATACATGAAAGTTTTAAACAGTATTTTAAAAACAACTCTTCTAAGTTTAAACCACAACACTACTAATCAGATCTTTAAAATGCAGTAAAATTTATAAAGAAATTTATAACAGCAGAGTAGATAAACTAACCCAACTTCACTGCCTGTAACTGGTGTGCAGTAAAATTTTTTAATTCAAACGTTTCTGGTTGTCTTTATCAACTTCTCCAGGACAAAGAAACAAATTACAATTTAAAAAGAACAAAAGCTGGAAGGTATTCCAGTAACAAGGTGATTTGAATATTAACATTTTAGAACAATAAAAATTTAAATTTGCATGCCAGACTTCTATGTACATTAAAATATAAATATACAAATAAAAATAAAAACACAAAGATAAAATAAAAATAAAATACATTGCTCATAAAACATAACTGTACAGTTAACAAAAACATATGTAATAACTAAACTAATGACTTAACTCATATATTACATATACTATATCACACAAAAAATATGTATTATTACTTATATCCGGTTGTTTAAGCATGTTAGTAGTATATTAGTACCAACTTATACTATACCAGTGTTTCTTAACAGGGTGGCCATGGCCCCATAGGGATCCATAAGAAGTTTGCCAGGGGCTGCCAAATTATGCTAAATTTATGTATATTTGTGTGAAAAAGGGTTCTCAACTATGGTGGATATAAAAACAAAAAAAACGCAATCAATTGCAATTAGATGCCTGCATGCGGATAGCATTACAAACAATTGAACCAAGAATTAACAAATTAGTTGAGGATATTCAGCAGCAGAAATCTCATTAAGTTATTTTCGAATATTTTTTGTTTTTCTATGAATTTTTAAATGTTTATTTTATTTTTTGTTAAAAATTAATGAGTTTTTATGTTTAATTGTGAAGTTTTAATGTTATTTAAATAGATAATGAAATAATAAAGTTATGTTTTACATTTATTATATAAAAAAAATGAAGCAATAATAAAAACATCAATTTATTATAGATAATTTAACAAATATAAATTATTATTAAGAAGGTTAATAAAGACAACTGAAAATGTTTTAGAATTAAAAAATCTTACTGCATTTTAGTGATTTGAGTAGTTGTACAGTGGTTTATTACAAGTGCAGTCTTTTTTAAGTTTTATGGCAGATTAACTTTTCAAAAAATATAATTTCAGATTCCTAGAAAGTGTAATGTTGGTAAATTATATAATTTTCTTAATGAAAATAAGATCTTGAATGGAAATTAATGTTCTTAAGTAGTAATTGAGAGTAGATTATTGAAAAAAGCAAAGGTCTGAAAAATAATTTCAGATATATGTTTAGATTTTGTACTTGAAAATAAATAAATAATAATGTTTTCTTATTCACATACAATATTTTGTTAGCTAAAAAGCATTATCTTTTTAAGCTATCTAATTGTTTATTATTAATCTTAAGCAAGTATCAAAATTTTGCTTAAGATGCCATTAAATGTTAAGCAAATAATATTAATAAATAACTGCTTGTTATTTATTGTGACATCATCACAATGCCAGGCTGCAACTTTTTATCATATCTTAATTTATTTAATTTAAAATACTATATATATATTCCATTTCAAATTAGTGTCTTGCCCCTGTACATCATACTTTTCCCATTAACAACAGTCATACCAATCATCTATGTAACTCCATTGAAAAGAAAATTTTTTAATTGAAATCACATGACTTCCAATTTAGATCAGAAGTTCGTATGTAGTTAATCAGAACCTCCTGCTCCTAAGCTTTCCATATCTGGTTTTGACTTTCCTCTATCTAACACTGTTCTCGAGATTAAGAAAGGACAGATGGATGGACAACAGTAGGAATTTATGGGTCTACAGTTTTTTCAAATTGAAGCCCAATGAAACGTTTAGAGTTAATAATAATTTATATTTATTAATAAAAAGGTAAACAAATGTATTGGATTAATAGTTAACATTTTACATTATGTATTGTTCTGGTTAATGTAAATATGCAATCTTGTATCTGGCATAAAATTGAAGTTAATTATGAACTTCTTTACTAAACCTGATGCATTACAATAAATCTACTACAACTGCCATATAAGATTGGGCTATATAACAGCTATAATAATTATAAATTACAAATAAATTTTACCCTAGAGGGAGGCATTAAGTGCCATTTTGTATTAAATTTAATAATTATAATTTAATTAAATAATTTTAGATTAAACTGGAAGAAAAGAATTGGCCCAGAGCAGGACTCAAACCCACAGCTGCCTCTTACTGTGTGGATGTGTTGCCAGTTAGGCTACCTGGACCTCCAGTTTGATCTCCTCTTCCAGTATATTTAATATTACGATATAACCATCATAATGTTAAATATATAAATGTTAAATAATTTTCTTCCAGTTTAATCTAAAATTATTTAATTAAATTATAATTATTAAATTTAATACGAGATGGTGTCTAATGCCTCCCTCTAGAGTCAAATTTATTTGTAATTTATAATTATTATAGCTGTTAAATAGCCAACTCTTATACAGCATTTGTAGTAGATTTAATAAAAATAAGAACCATTCAACTATCCAGCAAAATTCTTTAATAATTTAAAAATGTTTTCAAATGGAGAAATAACTGACGCTGAATGCTTAATGTGTTTGAAAACGTTTTTAAATTATTAAAGAATTTTGCTGGATAGTTGAATGGTTCTTATTTTTATTGAATTTATACTCCAGTAAGCAAGTATACTAGTAGTAGATTTAATTCTGAACTATTGTATTTTCATCATAATTACTATATATTAAACATGGTGTATGTTTGATAAAGATCTTTATTATTATGCAAATTCATTACACAAAAACAAATAAAGTTTCCAGTAAAAGAAAGAATAACTCAGTTTTTTAGCACAAGTGTCTGTAACTGTATAGCAGCTTGCAAAATTAATATGGGTAACAATATAGGAAAAAGCAGTGTGTATTGTGGTTAACTAAAATTAAATTACTATAACTGTGCAAAGAAAGTATTGCAGGAAGTACAAAAAGACAGCACCCAGTATCCCTTCACTTCATGCTTGGATACAGAAATTAAAACATAGGAAGTGTTCAGAACACAAAAATTACAATTGCCCTTCAATAGCCAACTTAGAAAAGCATTCTGTAGGAGTCTATGGAATTCAGAAGTTTATTGAATGTATTCTAATAAATATACTTTTTGAGCTGTTCTTTCATTTATCATAAATCACAATTCAGTCTAAATTTTCTACCGTAAACTGGAATTTTTATAAATTACATATAAAAAACACACCTTTTCATACATTTTCAGCACTTTTTATAGTTTTAATGAACATTTTTGGCTTGAATTACAAGCCTTCTTTCAGAAGCCGTTCTAACACAGCATAACTCCTTCTAATTAGAACAGCTTCTAACCTGAAGAATGTTCTGAAATCAAGCTGAAAACATTTGTTAGAACTATAAAAAAGTGCTGGAAATGTATGAAAAGATGTATTTTTTATATATAATTTACATTTCAGTAGAGCACTTTTATTTTTGTGTTATGAATTTGTATAATAATAAAGAACTTTCATGGACACACTACTGTATATTTGTTTAAAGACTACACAATATAAACTAAATATAATTTTTTTTTTTTTTTTTGAAAATGTTGCTTAAGTATAAATATTTTCAATAAGTATTAATATACAGGTATACCTCGCCTTACGTCGGTAATTGGTTCCAGGAGAACGACTTAAGTCGAAAAACGACGTAAGTCGAATTTACTTGTCTCTGAATCTACTCGTCACTAGGCTAAACGATAAATTACCAATTCCCGTTCTGTATTTTATTTATTAATGCATTTTTAATAAATATATGGTTAATAAGGATCTATTTTAAGCTTACAAACAAATAAATTTTAGTTTTATTATAGTACAGAAAAAAGTAAATTTACGAATGCATGTACTGTAAATACAGTATATACTTGTAAATGTATATATTATAATATTACTTTATGTGCTTTAAACGTTTTTCTAGTGATATTACGACTTGAATATTTGTGACGGACAGACGTAAAGTCGAATAAAATGACTTAAACTTGATTTTTATTTTTCCATATACTTTTTTGACAAATGACGTATAATCGGGAACGACGTAACTCGAAACGACATAAGTCGAGGTATACCTGTATTATCTTTAATGAAACATTAAATTTTTTAAGTTAATTTAAGCATTGTTAAGCATTAGTAAAAATTAAATTTTTATCAATAAAGTCTTTTTAGGCTTCTTTGTAGGAATAAAACAATAAAATTTTTAACTTAGTATCTTCAAGAAGTATTCTCATCTTCAGAATCACTTGAATTTATTATTACTTGACTTCTACAAGGAGTCACTAAAAGTGCTTATGTATCCTACAAGAAAGTGTAAGAGATTTTATTGGTAAATTAATTTAAGGAGTTGTGTGTTTTTTAATATATTAAATTTTCATTGTATTATTTATTTCAGAATAATGAATCAACTGCAAGAATGCCCTGTCCACTAGATCGTAAACAGTTGAGTATATATTAAATAAAATAAATGAGTGATTCTAAAGTAACATCTTTATTTTACATCTTTTAGAAAAACATTCTTTAATTAAAAATGGCATTAACAACATATCTGTTTGTAGTATAATAATGAGTATTCTTAATACAATGATGATCATATTAGTAACATATGTGATTGTAATAGTATATAGGAAATTAAAACATTTATGTTTTATATGTTTGTTGTATATATTTCTTTTTTTAATTTCTTTTCAGCTTAAAATCTTTTTTACCATGGCATTGAAATTATCTTTAAGGTATATAAAAAACATTTATGCTTGGACTAAGTGGTTGAAAGTCCTTAGAAAAATTTAAATCATCAGTTATTTACATTTAAGGAAAATGAAATAATTATGCATAATATTAATATTAATATGGTACTGGACAAAATATTTTGAAATCCAGAATTGCCACAAAACTGTCTAATTTTGAATTTGACAGGATTTAGTATGGCTGTAATATGCCTTGTGTGGCTTTTCTTTGGTTTGTAGCATACACTTACCACAATGCCAGTTCCAGTGTGACTGCTAGCAGTCAATGTGTTAAACAGAGTTTTGTTCTTCAATTTCCATTGTTTATTTTATATTTTAAGTATATATATATAGCCATGACCAGAAAATGTAGAAATTCAGATCACTTGCAGACCCAAGCTAACCAGATATCTGGTGCCATGTAATGAAAAAGATATCTTAAAACAGATATACTTTCACACAAAAACCTTCGTAACTCCAGTGATACTTGCTTTTTACATCAGCAAACGTTTTTGACCCCATTTGGGTCTTCATCAGGCTATGTTTATGAGAAATTCAAATGCGTATGGAACAGAACATTAAAACGAACTTTAAGCTATTCAAAATTTCGAAAAACAAAATTAAGAATAAACACGGAACGTTGTGCAAGAAAAATCGTAACATACAACCACCACCTGGATAAAATATACAGGGAAATCTCATTCATCACCAGGACTAAGATAGCGTACAGTAGGCCTAGATCTGTTTACAACTTGCTTCGCAACGGAAAAGATGCAATTGACTTGAAACACGCACCGGGGGTATATACCGTCCCCATGTGGGATGACAGATTTAACAACCGTTTGGTTTATGTGGGATCAACCAAACGCTCCCTTCACAAACGGCTTCGGGAGCATAAATACGATATTGACAATAAAAAACACACCACCGCCCTATCAATGGTTGCCACGGAACCGGGAATCACAGCTGACTTACAAAGTGCCCGTATGATCAGGATCTCTTATCGTACGGATCAACTGAGAGCCATGGAGACTCTTGAAATATATAAAGCAGGTTTACGCGGCATGTGCATTAATTCCAGGGATGCAGTCGGGATATCGGGCGCGTGGAAGTTTTGTTATGAGGGAAACCACCCCCGTAACTGATTTGTTGAATTTCCTAATTTTGGTTGTGTTCACCGTTTCGCAAATGAGTGGATGCGCGTGCGCAACGTTCCGTGTTTATTCTTAATTTTGTTTTTCGAAATTTTGAATTGCTTAAAGTTTGTTTTAATGTTCTGTTCCATACGCATTTGAATTTCTCATAAACATAGCCTGATGAAGACCCGGATGGGGTCGAAAACGTTCGCTGATGTAAAAAGCAACTATCACTGGAGTTACGAAGGTTTTTGTGTGAAAGTATATTTTCCTCTGGTGTGTAAGAAGAGTTTAGTTTCTTATCTTAAAACAGAGTTATGATGGAAAGTATGTAGAACAAATATAACATTTAAAACAGATTAAAGTTGTTATGACAAAATTGTTGAATGTTGAAAGTAAAAATAACTGAAATTGTTTATATGATTAACATAAATCATATGTTAAAATAACTATAATGATTATATTGTTTTAGATGTACAAATAAATTTATGATTAGGCATAGAAAACATTTTTGATTTTTCTTTGTTAAATTTTTATTTTTTTCACATTAATAATTTTATGAAATTTGTTTTTTAGCTTTTTAATTTAATTTTTTTAATTAAAAGTTTTTAATATTAAATTTTTGTTGCTATTGTAATATTATTTATCTTTTATTACATTTCTATTTGTATCATTGTTTATTGTTTTCATTTTACTTATTTCGTAGATTTAAATATCTCCTTTTACAATAATTTTTTTCTGGTTATCTTAATTAATAAATATTCAAATAAAAACAATAGTAAAAATTTCACAATAAATTAGAAAAAGCATAAAAATAAATTTTGTTTTTAGTTAAATAGTCAAGTAATAGATTTTATTAATAATTTATGGTTAAAAAAAATTAACTATTTTCAGTTTTTTTCCAATTGGTATAAAGAGCTGTCCTTATTATGTGTTATTTAAATAAATGAATAAATAAATGAAATGTTCTAAGATTGGAAATTCATGCATTAATTATAACTTTGTATTTATAAAATGTATAGTGACAACTTTATCTTCTACAATTTGAAATTTGAAAAATCAGAACATTGGTTTGAAATTCAAACTTTAAAATTAAAGAATGCTAGTTAAAATGTTAAATTTGAAACATCTTTTTCAAATTTGGATATGTTACGTAATAAGAAAAAGTGTTATGCGATAAGAAACTTTTGTAAGAAAAAGTGTGTTTATTAACAAGAAAAATTAAACCAAGACCTTATTAATAATGTAAATTTTTTTCAATTCAATTCAAGTTTATTGACATATAAGGCGTTAGCCTGTTACAGGGGGTATTTAATATACATATTTGATATTAGAACCAAAAGTTTAAATAACATAACATTTTATATTATTAGTTCATAATATATTGAATTCCTTAGTTTTTTATTGTTATTATTTTATTCTTTAAAATTTCTCCTCAATTGGTTATACAAATATTGAATATGACAGAAATAAACTGCTTGGAACAAGAAAATACTATTTTAATGAGCAAAGCACATTGAAAAAGCAAATTCGGTCATCCTTCAAGTGGCATTTTACTTTTAATTAAGAAGAGATTAGGAAGCATTCTACATCAAAACATAACGAACTACTCTATAATGGTAACGATAAAATTACAGAACGAGCTCAAAACTTCATGGAAATACCAATATTTGTGGTTAATAGTAGTATATCTACCTCCATCAGTTGAAAAAAAAACCTATATTTGAAGGAATGCAGAATTATCTAAATCTATGGGCCTCTATGGTTCAATTATAGTTGATCGGTGAAGACTTTAACTCACGAATTGGAGAATATCTAGATACAAAAGTATTCCAAGACTATGAAAATATTAGGAATAAAAGACAATCAAAAGATAAAGTTCTAAACTCGGACGGTAAAATCTTACTGCAATTTGCACAAAATAACCTATTAATAATTTTAAATGGAAGAATGGAAGGAGATATTCCGGCAGAGTTCACCTATATATCACACAATAGAAGGTCAAGTATAGACTATTTGCTGTGCTCAGAAACTATAATTGAATTTTGCAGGACCCTATCAGTCTTAGATATTGACTCCTTTGATCATTTCCCAATACAGCTTAAGATATCTGAGAATAAGGAAAAAAGAGATAACACTAGCAAATATGAATATATATATGATTTTAATAATAATGTAAATTTGATTCTATTAGAAAAAAGATATTCAGAATTTAATTTTTTAACTTAGTTCTTCAATTTGAAGTTTGAAACACCTGAAGATGAAATTAATAGCACTTTGAAAATGTTAATTTGGGAATTAATGAAGTAATTTTTTTATGTAAACATAGAAGTTACTTCTATATATTCTGAAATTAATTAATGATATAGAATATATAATGAATTTATTTCAAATTTTTATTGTAAGTGAATGTTAGTCTGTCTCTTACCTATGAAAAGATATTAATTTTTCTTTGCAAAATATAGTTAGAGTTTTCATTTTTATTTGTGTAATTAAAACTTCTAATCAATAACTGTCATTACACAGTAGGGATTTTTAATTGTTGAAACTTTTATGAAATATCTAATTTCTNCTTTACTTATTTCTTTATAGATTCTTAAATTTAGTTGGTTATTTAATAGTTACATCTTCCTTCACAATTTTAATTACCAATTGTTCAATTTTATCTATGAAAGTTTGTTGTTCTATAAATTATAAATTCTCTAAAATCAGGACCATATGTGATGTCCTAAACCTTCATTAGTTTGTGATGATGATTCTCTAAAAACCTAACTTTTTAAATTTATGTATATAAATTACTAAAAAGCATTTATAACAATACAAAATTAATATTTAAAGGATTTCAAACTATATTCAATTGTACTAGTTTAGCAGAAAAGAACATCTTACAATAACATAAATGTCAGAGAATGCTTCTAAATTCAATTATCAAAAAGCAGAACAAATGTAGGAAGTTTGCTGTTTTTATTCAATTTATAACTGATTCATTGATTTCTATAAAACAGTAATAATAATCATATTTGAATTTTTTTTGTTATTATAGGTTTAAAACACTGTGCTTTTATACAAAGAATTGACTTAAAAATACATACTTTGTTGAATAAAAAAAAAATACAATTTTTAAAAAGATTATATTTTTTAATTTTTAATAATAATAATATTCAATGCAATAATATTTAATAATAATAATATAGATATATTTATCTAATTTATAATGTGTAATTATATTTTAAAATTATTTAAAAGTTCTTTAAATATTTTATCAAATAATATCTTTATTTTATTTGCAGATTTATTATCAGAAAAGTATTAATGGCAGAATACTAGGAAAGAATGAAGAAAAGGTACGAATTAAAACGTTTTTATCAATATTTTAATATTTGATTTTAAAATTATAAAAGTGATCTTTCATATTATTTGATAATAAATAAGATTAATAAAAAAATTAAACACAAATAATTACACAGCATACTTTTTGACATGAAGGGCATAACATGAATGATACACAAGGCAATTTCAAAACATTTTCAAAATATATAAATATTCCATTATTAGTAACATTTTTTTTTTCAAACTTTTTGCTTTATAATTTAATTAACCCATTGTTTTTTCTTTTATTACTGTAAAGTTGATTTTGGCAATTAAAATAGTTATGTAAAATAGATTAATAAATAGAAAAATTTAAAGTTGTTAAAATAATATTAAATGAAATGTTAATATGCGTTTTTAAAACGCCATTGTAACAGGCGAAAGCCTTCTACGACAATAAATAATTTCAATTTCAAAAAAAAAATAGTTATGTACAGTACCTTTTAAAACAATAGTACCAGCTACCCCAGCTTGACTGTGTAATATTTTTCTGTATTTATGTACAAGGGTATTATTTTTTGCAATATTGTAATTAAATTGAAATTAAATATGAAGTCATTACCATTTTGCTTTATTTGCTTCATTTTTTAAATTATAGCAATGTTTTTCAACTNAATTTGGGAATTAATGAAGTAATTTTTTTATGTAAACATAGAAGTTACTTCTATATATTCTGAAATTAATTAATGATATAGAATATATAATGAATTTATTTCAAATTTTTATTGTAAGTGAATGTTAGTCTGTCTCTTACCTATGAAAAGATATTAATTTTTCTTTGCAAAATATAGTTAGAGTTTTCATTTTTATTTGTGTAATTAAAACTTCTAATCAATAACTGTCATTACACAGTAGGGATTTTTAATTGTTGAAACTTTTATGAAATATCTAATTTCTTAAATTACATTTTATAACTATACAAATTTAATTAATTTTCTTATAAAATTTATTTATTTAAAATCTTATATAATTTTGTTACTTCAATTTCAATGTTTCAGTTAATTTATTTTTATTTAATATAAAAATTTATAAGTTTCTTTCAAAATTTGATTGTGATTTTAATCATATTTTTTATTCTATTGCAAAAGTGTTAAATATAAAATATAAATTAATTTTTCAATTGTTAAGTTAATATTGATTTTAAATTTAATTTTTTAAATAGTACTTGTTTTGTAAAAGGATTAGAAGAACATTTAAAGAAATGCAATTCAAGGGAAAAAGAAAAACCTGTAATTCAGTTTGTTTTCTCTGCTAATATTTATTCAATAGTTTATAAATATTAAGGGTTCAATTAATAGATTAATAAGTTATTGTTTAAATATTTTACTATTTTTTAAGAATGTAGTAATTTTTAAAAAATAATAAAATTTATTTTCATAAGTAAATGAATTAAAAAAAAACAATTATTTTAGTATATTGTGTTTCTGTATGATTCATTAAATTTCCCTTTTTTAAAGAAAATTATTTTTAATTTTAATATAAATTTTTTCCAATGCTTACAATGTTATTCTTAATATATTTTCAGTATCATTTGTAATAAATATTTTCAAGAAATATTTATATATGCTTATTATTGTATTTATATACAGTATATTTGTTTTTAAATTTTTTAAAATATTCGAGAAATAATTAATCATATTATACTTCATTAGAATAAAGGGTGGGCACCCTGTTACGCGGGGCTAGGCAGTTACAAATATTAAAATATACAATTTGTAAATAATATACTGAAAATTTAGAATTTAATTTTTTAACTTGGTTCTTCAATTTGAAGTTTGAAACACCTGAAGATGAAATTAAAAGCCCTTTGGAAATGTTAATTTAGGAATTAATGAACTAATTTTTTATGTAAATATAGAATTTTTTATGTCTTTACTTATTTCTTTATAGATTCTTAAATTTAGTTGGTTATTTAATAGTTACATCTTCCTTCACAATTTTAATTACCAATTGTTCAATTTTATCTATGAAAGTTTGTTGTTCTATAAATTATAAATTCTCTAAAATCAGGACCATATGTGATGTCCTAAACCTTCATTAGTTTGTGATGATGATTCTCTAAAAACCTAACTTTTTAAATTTATGTATATAAATTACTAAAAAGCATTTATAACAATACAAAATTAATATTTAAAGGATTTCAAACTATATTCAATTGTACTAGTTTAGCAGAAAAGAACATCTTACAATAACATAAATGTCAGAGAATGCTTCTAAATTCAATTATCAAAAAGCAGAACAAATGTAGGAAGTTTGCTGTTTTTATTCAATTTATAACTGATTCATTGATTTCTATAAAACAGTAATAATAATCATATTTGAATTTTTTTTGTTATTATAGGTTTAAAACACTGTGCTTTTATACAAAGAATTGACTTAAAAATACATACTTTGTTGAATAAAAAAAAAATACAATTTTTAAAAAGATTATATTTTTTAATTTTTAATAATAATAATATTCAATGCAATAATATTTAATAATAATAATATAGATATATTTATCTAATTTATAATGTGTAATTATATTTTAAAATTATTTAAAAGTTCTTTAAATATTTTATCAAATAATATCTTTATTTTATTTGCAGATTTATTATCAGAAAAGTATTAATGGCAGAATACTAGGAAAGAATGAAGAAAAGGTACGAATTAAAACGTTTTTATCAATATTTTAATATTTGATTTTAAAATTATAAAAGTGATCTTTCATATTATTTGATAATAAATAAGATTAATAAAAAAATTAAACACAAATAATTACACAGCATACTTTTTGACATGAAGGGCATAACATGAATGATACACAAGGCAATTTCAAAACATTTTCAAAATATATAAATATTCCATTATTAGTAACATTTTTTTTTTCAAACTTTTTGCTTTATAATTTAATTAACCCATTGTTTTTTCTTTTATTACTGTAAAGTTGATTTTGGCAATTAAAATAGTTATGTAAAATAGATTAATAAATAGAAAAATTTAAAGTTGTTAAAATAATATTAAATGAAATGTTAATATGCGTTTTTAAAACGCCATTGTAACAGGCGAAAGCCTTCTACGACAATAAATAATTTCAATTTCAAAAAAAAAATAGTTATGTACAGTACCTTTTAAAACAATAGTACCAGCTACCCCAGCTTGACTGTGTAATATTTTTCTGTATTTATGTACAAGGGTATTATTTTTTGCAATATTGTAATTAAATTGAAATTAAATATGAAGTCATTACCATTTTGCTTTATTTGCTTCATTTTTTAAATTATAGCAGTGTTTTTCAACTGGTGATCCACAGACTAATGCCAGTCATGAAAAAAGTTTACTGGTCTGCAGTAAAATATTTGACTGTACTGAAGTTGGTGCAGCTGATTAAGGATGACATTTGAATAGTAATCTGGAGTTACTGTATGTACTTTGTTAAAGTATTTACAGTAACTCTATATAAGCATATATCAGCTTAATAAATAAGCATAATTCATAGTCGCATATAATTACTTGGTCCACGTAATTTACTAGTCTGCAATGAGAAAAAGGTTGAAAAACACTGCTCTATGCTATAAGAATTCATTTTATTATAATTAAATGATCATTTATTAAAAGTTATTTAATAATAATTCAGATTTTAAAATTAGAAGATAGTAATAAAATAAATTTAAGAAATGAGCAATCAACTCTCTAACTAAAGTCCAACTATAAATTTTATCATTTATTTCTTTTATTAAATAGAAAAAGTATTCCTTTTTATTTTAATAATAATTGATTTATTTGTAGAAATATATAATATATATATATATATATAAAAACATACACAATAGATAGTGCTCNTTTATATATATTCTATTCAGAGAATTAAATTATTTAGTTTTTTTTTTTTATTAGACTTTTATACAGGAAATTAAATTTTAATATGAATTAACAGATTTAATAAAACTAAGGGAACACTAAAATTTTAATTATTGATTTTATGTAATAAAAAAAATTTTTAATATTTGAGTTAATACTTTGATATTTTTTTGAATCTACAGTATATGTTTAGAACTAATTTATATAATTTAATTTATAATACTCTACATTTGTTATTTACAGATACCTACCTATTTTATTTTAAACAGGTAACAATTTCTGAAATATCTGATGAAGAACTTACAAATCTTATTACAAAAGTCAAGAAGACCTGTAATGGTATAAAATATTTATTAAATTAAAATTTATAAGAGTACCAAAATAATGTAAATATAAAAATCAACATTTAGCTATCTTATTAACATCTGATAAATATATTTTACACATGTTAATAAAATTATTTTATTTGATATGTAAAATATATAAAAATAAAATAGTATTCAAATATTGATAAATGTGCTAAGTTAATTAAAAACATATTCAATTGTTCATTTGAATTTAGCTATTTCCATGATTCTATAGTAAAATCTTTTCTATAGAATATTTTCAAAATTGATTATATAGAATGTTTCAAATAATTTGTTATAACTTTATCACATTTATATTTGAATTAATTTAGTATAGCAAATTAGATCTTAAAGAAATACATTATTATTAAATATATTGCTAACTGTAAAATTAGTCAAGTGTCTTTGTATCATTAAGAAAACTGTTTCTTGTAGAGTATGGTCAGTCAAAAATAAAATAGACTAAATTTAATAAAATTTATATTTTAGAGGCCTTCATTTATTTATTATCTAAACCAGGGTGTCCAACCCGTGACCCGCGGGCCACATGCGACTCAAGGCAAGTTTCAATGTGGCCCAATAAACATGTAAACAAAATTAATTTTACAAACAAAATTTTTATTTATTTCAATGGCATAAACTCAAAAAAGAAGTTTCGAGCCATAAACTTTTATACATATTTCCTTTCCACTCAAAGGATTATAGACCCAAATTTGAGAAAAGGAGAGAAAGGCCAAAAGATAAAAAGTAGTGAGAAAGGTTAAATAGACCTTCTGTTATGCAAATATTGACCCTTAATTTTCCAACCTTCCTCTCTACTTTTTATCTTTTGGCCTTTCTCTCCTTTTCTCAAATTTGGATCTATAATCCTTTGAGTTCCAACTCCAGCATTATTTAGTATTCCTTCCAGCATTGCAAGATTTGGCTACTTTGTGCCACCTGGACAAAAGCAACATCTCACAGGTTGAGGTTAATAGTATTTTACCTTGGTCAGCCCAGCGATAAATGTTGACTTAAGCTTAAAGCAGTTCCCCAAAGAAACCACGCCAGATTACGTCTATAGACAACACTTCGCAGAAATTCAACATCGTGACAGGAATTTAATTCCTGTATACACCAATGGATCTAAATCGGATAACTATGTTGGCCTAACCTTTGTTTGCCAGGATGAAATCGTGGCAGAACATATAGCATCGAATTCATCTGTATTTACTGCCGAGTTACATGCTATTTATTTAGCCCTAAAGTATATAAATAGGAAAGGTCATCGTTGCTGCGTGATTTACACTGACTCAGTTAGTGCACTTCAGGTTTTGATCTCATCTGAACCTAGTTCTCACTCTATAGTGATTAAAATCCATAATCTGATTTGCCATCTTCTTGCAAGGAATTTCTCTGTAAAATTTTGTTGGGTTTCAGGCCATGTAGGTATAAGAGGAAATGAAGAAGCTGACACAGCTGCAAAGTCAGCAAGTCCGTCTCAGCATACATTGTTTATTGAAGGAGCTGACTTGAAGCTAGTCATTAAAAAACGACTAGCAGAGAGATGGCAAAATGTATGGAATGCATAAATCCACAATAAACTACATGAGATCAAATCTATGATAGAAAATTGGACACATAATAAACAGTATGACAGGAGATCTGAGGTTATTCTTACTCATTTGAGAATTGGGCATACTCTGTTGACTCATCAATACCTTTTGAAGGGCAATGAGCAGCCAGTGTGCCAGTATTGCAACTCTTCTCTTACTATAAAACACATACTGCTCGATTGCTCTAGCTTTGAGACCAGGCATAGACAGTATTTCGGGACAGAGTGTTTGACAGAGATTCTGGGCCAGAGGCCCAATCTTTATAATATATTGGATTTTTTAAAGGTCACTAATTTGTATAATGACATTTAACTATTTATTTATATATTTATTTTTCACTTTTTTGTGTATTGTTGTTTGTTTGTTTTTATTATGTATATACTCGTTGTTGTTTCTATGTTGTCTGCATGGCGCAGCTTGGCCTTTGTGGCCCTTGTGCCAAAAAATCACAACCAACCAACCAACCAACCAACCTACTTTGCGCCAAATTTGGCTACCCTATTTTTAGTTACGTGTAAAAATTATCAATTGGTGTATTGGCTACTTGTTGGTCTACATATTATTTATAAATATATTAGTCAAATAAAAATGCACTTTAAAATGGTGTTTCATTGCTTTTTATTAATTAGAGACCAAATAAAACAAATATTTGTGTTTTTCAAATAGATTTTTATTTGTCTCCTTTGTAATAAATGAATTTACCTATTTCTAAGTAAAAATTGAAAGTGTCCATAGAAGTAATTTTTTAAAATATCCTTTTTTATGATAAAGTTTTAATACTTATTACTATATTCTAGACATGTTAATCCTTAAATATACAAGTATATTTAAGGATTGGGTCACAAATATATTATATATACTTGTGGCCAAAACTCCATGACTTCTTCCAATGTGGCCCAGAGGAACAAAAGGGTTGGACATCCCTGATCTAAACAATTCTTGTCTTATACAATACTAACTTACCCGTCGCGCATTGCTGCGATCTCAGAAGAAAGGAAATTCAAGCAAACTTGTTATGATAAAATTCAATTTACATAAGATAAACGACTTCCAACAACTTAACACTGCGTTGAATAATAACAATCCACGAAAACCTTTTTACGAGTGTTATGTCACTAGTAAATTCCACAAGTACTTTTGACCTCCACCGAGGTGTGCTTCAGGTGGTGACTGGCCTTGTTTCGACCCGACCGTCATGGAGGTTGAAAGTACTTGTGGAATTTACTAGTGACATAACACTCGTAAAAAGCTTCTCGTGGATTGTTATTATTCAATTTACATTTTATCATTTTTATTGAAACTTATTATTATTATTATATTATTATTATTGTTATTCATTTTCATTGGGAAAACATTTCAAGTGTCGTTTCAATTCTATTTATTTATTGGAGTTCTTGTGGATACACGATATTTTTTGTTTTTTCGTCTGATGCGTACGCGAATCAATCAGAAGGTTTTCCGACGCGTGAGCTGGCCACATACAGTTGTCCATGCGAGAAGCACGGATTCTCCAAATTTAGCCCACACACTTGCAGCGATTGTCAAAAGCGCGATATTCCCCATTTATATATATATTTTTAAATCCTTTATAATTTTAATTATTTAATTGCTCCTTCCTCTCTTCCTTGGCATGTTGTGAAATTTCTGATAGTTGGATAATAAACCGTTTTATTGTAATTTGTCTTTTTAAATTATTTTGAGTCGATATTAAAATTTGGAAAAGGGGATTTCTAGATCGGTAAAATAGACGAATTTCCTCCTACAACTTCGGTTGTTGTTCAGGATACAGTTAAGGTTTTAACAAAGTTCGAGCGAATACATAATTAGCAAAAAATAGTTGAAATAAAGTGATTAAACAAAAATTATTAGAAATATCGTAAATAACAAATGCATATATAGAGATATTTTTAGAGGGGGGAATGGTCCTCACAATTTGAAATCGATCGAACACACAGTGCTCGAATACTGGTGTAAACGTGTGCCATCTATCGTAGGATAAATGTACTTTGCGGAAGTGTATTAAAAAACTTTCCAAAGTTTCATGGCAATCGTACTATGCCACAAATCTTCGCCGGAGTATATTAAACAACTTTCCAAAGTTTCACGGCAATCGGATAAACGGTGTGGTAATGCATGAAGGACAGACAGACACACAGACAGGCATACATTCATTTTTATATATATAGATTAGATACAAAATTTCTTACAGAATTCTACATATAATTGTGAAAACTATAAATTAACACATATAGAAAATCAAGCCCGAATTATATTAATAATCAAATGATAAATTTATATTGATTATTGTGCTATAACTTGTTTAATTAAATGTACAGATATGTAATTTGGACTAAAGGTATGTGATTAAGTCGCCATCTTATATTAAATTTAATCACTAAAATTAAATTAACTTAGAATATTAAGAAAGAAAAGATTGATCCAGAGCAAGATTTAAGCTTCCAACTTCTGCTTAATTTGTACAATAAATAGAAGATATGTGTTTGACTCACATTTTTTATCAATCTTTTCTTTTAGAATATTCTAAGTAGCTTTAATTGTAATGATTAAATTTAATATAAGATGGTGAATTAATCACTTATCTTTAGTTTAAATTACATAATATCTGTATATTTAATTAGCCAAGTTATAGCACTGTAATGAATTTGACTTTATCATTTGATTATAAATTAATACAAACCTTGAATGAAAATTAGTAATGTATATAGTCATTATGTTTAAATATATTTACTTGAAAAAAGATTAAAATTTTAAATTTATGTAATACTAAATTGGAATATATTAGATCTGTTTTACTGTACATTATGATTTTTGCCACAAGTTCCAAGAACTTTCAGGTCATTTGTTTTATTATGATTATAAACTTCAGAAGTACTTGGGACTTATAGCGATCAAGTATATGTTCTCTAATAAAGCAAGAAATAGATTTTTAAAAGTTGATAGTTATGGAATATATTAGATTTATTTCTGCATAACTAAATATTAAATGTTATGTGTGTAAATATTAAATATTCATTCTTAGATTTATATTTTATTTATAGAATTTTTAATGCCTCTTGAAATTGAAGAAATTTCTCATCCTGTTTTAAATTCTGCATTAAAAGATAGTAAAAATGGTCAGCTGGCAATTAAACATCTTCGTCAACAAGCATCCCTCTTAGGTCATATGAAGAATATGAAACTTTTATCAAATGAAACCTGTTTTGTGGAATTTGGAGCTGGAAGAGGTATAACTGAAATTTATTTTAATTTTATATCTTAAATAAAATTAAAGTTTAATTTAACAATTGACTCGTAAACAAACTGTAGTTGCTGTTTTCAAATGTAAAAGTGTGTGTAAAGATTTTTAATTATAATATTAAATATTGTATTTAAAAAAAAATTTTTCATATTTAGGTCAATTAACTTCCTGGATTATTCAAGCAGTGAATAATAAAAATAGTTGTAAATTTATTTTAATTGATAGAGCATCACAAAGACATAAGGTTTGTTTAATTTTTAATTAATTTTTTTAATTATAGAAACTTTTATTTCTTATATTAAAATAATTTGAACAATTTACTTTTAATATGAATATTTAGAATATATATATTCTTCTAGTTACATGATCTATATTATCACATTTTAAAATAAATATATCACATTGTATATATTATTATGAATAAAAATTTAATTGAAAGAATGATTAATTTTTAGTTATTTGTATTTATAACAAATTTCTTGGAACAATGATGATAGCAGTGGCGTGCCATGACATTTGATGATAGGGAAGCGTGTTTCTGTAAGAAGCCGACTTCCAGGGACAATCAGTTAATTGTGCATCAGTGATGGTCTAGGATCCATTCATATCATTTATTCCGTAAGCCAGTAAAAACCATAGACTTTTCTAAATGCATTTTTAATATCACAATTGCATTCCGAATCGCTAACCACAATATAAGGGCTACAATTAAAAATAAAATAATAAAAACTTACTCGGTGAAATAAAATGTGTGGTGGATGTATCAGTACATACCCGGTACAAAATATTCTTTAATTGTATTAATATACTTTTAAAGAAAATTATAATTAAATATAGCTTTGTAAAGAAACATACATAAAAATATAAAATATTCTTTACTTTTTAAATCTTAAAACAATCCACTTAGTCAAAGAGCTCCCTACTAGTGACTAATGGATGGAATCAGAGATGTCCTGGTAGGTGCATCATGCAGGTTGCCAAATCCCAAGGGTGCCGATACCAGTCAATGTCAAATACCTCTTTTGTCGCATCACTAGTATATCTCAAAGGATGCGACAGGGTTGTTGTACATTTTAAACGTTTCTCACCATAGCTATAAAAATCTAAATATATTAAACTTAATAGATTGTCTGTCATTTGTTTTCTAATTTGTTTTAGGACCAGGGTCCATGGAAATTTCCAAAATTTACAACTTTTCAGTCACTGTCATTGAACTGGAAAAATTTCTCTTTTTATTACATCTAATATTTCGAAGAAATCAGTCCCCACTGTACTTGGTTATAGATTGGTTCGGTTAAGCTTTTGTTTAAGTAAAATTTTGGCTCTTTCATCAGGGTTTTATTTATATCCCCAATTCCCTAATCGCTTAATTATTTAACTACTACTTAAGTAGAAATAAGTTGAAACTGGTTACTTTGTACTTGAATATTTGTAGTCTTGGGAAAAAAGTGGAAAGACAAATTTTTATGACAATGGATACATAAATCATAAATTTAAGGAAAATAAATTCTAGAGCTTTTTCTGTACCTTGTGCATCTCTGTCATTCATTAAATTTAGTTGTAAATGACTGTCAAAGTAACGGTTAATTTTTTAACATTGTACAAGAATTGTACACATTTTTTCTACATCCCCTTATAGATGGGATATACGAAATCGTAATATCACTGGTTTAACATTGAAATTCATAATATAAGATGGGAGAGCAGAATAAAAATATCAAATATTTTAATGGATTTTTTTAACTCCTGTCAACTATACAGAACTATTATAAAAACATACCAGTAAATTCTTATCAGTTGGGTTAAGTTATAAATCTACTTATTATTCACATAATTGGGCAAGGGCGGCTAAATATCTAGCAGGCAGGCAGCTAACAGCCCAGAACTGGTCCTGGATAGAATCATTGGAAGTGTTATACGTGTGTAGTTTTCACCAGCTAAACCGGTGAGGTTGGTGGTCTGTAAAGCGCATGCGAGAATGAGTATAATCTGGCTGTTTGGAAGCTGACAGTACAGCACTTCCATTCCGCCACTAATATTCGAATATACAATAGCAATCTTATCGTTTTTTTCACATGTAGTATAGAAATTTGTAATAAGATACATAATGTGGTTATAATAAAATATTAATTTTAATTATATGAAAATAATCGCACAATATGTATTTATTTTTTAGAAAATACAAGGGAAGTGGTGCTTCCACCACTTCCAATGACGGCACGCCACTGGATGATAGGAAAATGTAATTTATGTTCCTTCTAATCTGGTTTGTTCAGTACTTGTTATAATATCCAGTTTTATCAGTTAACTTATGATCAAGTTATGTTTGAGAATATTTCATCAAATAAACAGTATTCACTAACTTGAATTTTTTATGTCAATAATTGATAAATTTAGTGCGTGTGATGCTTTTGATTATTTATGAGGTCTGTTCAAAAAATACGTGGACTGTTTGAATTGTGCGGCTCCAGTTGGTTTCAGGGGAATCAGCTTGATGTTGCTAGATTTGTACAGATCGTCTGGTGATAAAGCCGTTTTCCGATTATAGATATCTTTATTTGTTGATTAGCTATGTCATTTTTAGTGAAGTGCGATTTTTTTGTTTGTTGGATTTCAGAATGAATGATCTGATGGAGCAACAACTTGCTGTGAAATTTTGTGTTAAACTTGGAAAATCTGTGACTGAAACATTTGCTATGCTCAACACAGCTTATGGTGATGTTGCTATGAAGTGTACGGCATGTTTCAAGTGGCATGAACATTTTAAGGGTGATCGACAGTTGATTGAAGACAATGAGCATCTTGGACATCCTTTACGTCAACTGATGACCCAAATGTTGACAAAATCAACACCCTGGTGTGGGCAAATCGACGTCTGAGAGTCAGGGAGCTTGCTGAAGAGTGTGGGATATCAGTTGGATCTTGTTACGAAATTTTGACTGAAAAATTGAAGATGCACCACATTGCTGCGAAATTTGTGCCACACCTGATGACGAATGACCAAAAGCCAATCGCATCCAGGTTTGTTGGAAACTGCTTGATCGTTCAGAAAAAGATGAAAACTTCTTGTCAAGGATCATAACAGGTGATGAATCATGGGTTTACGGTTATGACATTGAAATGAAGATCCAATCGTCCCAGTGGGTGGGTGAAATGTCCTCCAGACCCAAAAAAGCTCTCCAAGTTCAATCCAATGTCAAGGTGATGCTGACAGTTTTCTTTGATGCTAAGGGTGTTGTTCACCACAAGTACCTCCCCCACGGCTCCACAGTGAACCAGACTTACTACATTGAAGTTCTGAAACGTCTGAGGGACACCATCCATCACAAAAGGCCAGAAATGTGGAGGAGTGGAGACTGGTTTCTCCATCACGACAATGCTCCAGCCCATTCAGCCCTCTGAACTCGTGAGTTTTTGGCCAAACATGCAATCACTGTTCTTTCCCATCCCTTTCTCACCTGACGTTGCTCCTTGTGACTTTTTCTTGTTCCCCAAACTTAAAAGATCCTTGAAAGGAAGAAGATTTGAGACTATTCCCAAGATTAAGGCAAATGTGACAAAGGCGCTGAAGGACATTACAAAAGGAGATTGCCAAAACTGTTTTAACACGTGGAAACACCGTTGGGATAAGTGTGTGCGTTGGGAAGGAGAGTACTTTGAAGGGGACCCAAACATGTAACTTCTACATAAAGTATATTTTGTTTTATGATGTCAGTCCGCATATTTTTTGAACAGACCTCATATTATTTTTACACATACAGTATTTGATGTAGCTCATAAGGAAATCATTTTTGTTTCAAATACATATTCTGCTATTGTTCCTTCTCCATTAATAGTAATATTATTTATTTTAGTTAGTACAAAGTGCAGTTATTTTTAACAAATAAAACTTTATTCAGAGAAAAAATAACTTAAGTTTTTAAAATTGTTTATACATTAAAATGTACAGCATTTAAATAATTATTTGTAAGTTTTATTCTTTCACTATTTAAAATCATATCATATAGCTATGTAAAAAATATTTAATAAATTAACATCAGAACCCTGGTGAATTTGCACTTCTGTTAACTACGGAGCAGTCATTTTGACCTTCCTTTTTCATTTATTTTTACTCACAGTAATCATCAAATGGTGGTTAATATCAAATAATAAATGTTGCTACTAGAATATACTAAAGTAATTTATTGCAAAAATATTTCCTCATAAGATGAATACTGTAATTATTCAAATATCTACATGCCAGAAAGTATTCATTGCTTCAACACTGACCCAAGTACAGTACATACTGCCAATGAAAATCTACATAAATTCTTCCAGTCATAGTGGCAACCAAAGCTTGTCAAAACTTACAAGCTGATTTGGAAGTTGCAACCATAGCAGAACTCTATTCTGCATCTCGTTTTTATCAATGCTACACCCACTCAACAAACCTGAATATCATTGATTAGCAGAAATTGAAAGCTGATCCATTAATTCCTTTACAATGAAAATTTGAGGCTGCTAGTTTCTGACAAAACACAGAGATTTGACCTTTGTAAAAATGATGACTACAGTTCTAGAGCAATGCAGTTTTTGAAGCAATCTGGTTCTATTCTATTAATATTAAATACTGACCCCATTCCAGTGGTACTTAGATCAAAAAGTCATCACACAATCTGGTCTATTGCTTACATTGGCTGGTCCTCTTCATCCACCAACAAATGTATCTTGCCCATGGCTCTTCTTTGAGGTGAAAACTCGTGAACCTGAATGGTCTCTACCTCAATTGGTCAACAAATGTAACCATCCAACATATCATTTGGAGAAGGCCTTAGCTACATTGCTCACTACAGTTGTTTCCAATTTTAATTTTGTGGTCTCTTCAACATTACAATCCAAAACAAGTATCATTAACAGATTGGGTTCAATCCTAATGGAAACTTTTCACTTTTACGAAATTGATGTAAATTCTTTCTATCTATCTGTACCGAATTTTGAGGCTGTAATGCTTCTAACACCTTTTTTGGTAGAAAAAGCTTTCATAGTCCATCAAATACTTGGTAGATGGGAGACTCTCCTTCTGGTTACTCAACATAATTACTTCCAATTTAAAGGCCAGTATTTTTTACAAAAGCAAGTTGTCCCTATGGGCTCTCCTCTTTCAGCTGTTTTGGCTGAGTTAATTATGAGAAATATAGAGTATAAAGTGTTTTACTCACTCATTACAATACATTACCCCTTACTCTATATTAGGTATGTAGATGATATCTTAATTGTTGGGATGATACCACTGAGGATCTGTTTACTTTCATTCAGAGTTTACCCCTCCATTTCATCCTCTATGAAAGAAGAAAAGGAAGGAAAGATTACTTTCCTAGATTTGTCTATGCATAAGACTTATACACATCTTGGGTTTTCAGTGCATCGCAAATTCAAACTACCCCTTTACATCATACCAGCCAACTCCTTTAAGCCTCCCAGATATGTAAACATAGCCATTGCTGCTCTTATCCACATAGCTTATTTATACTCTTCGTTGCGCTTGCTTGTACACAAAGAGTTGAGTCAGGTTGTTACAGCAGTACACAATGCTGGTTATATAACATCCAAGTTTAGATATGTCAATAATCTTGTCTGCAGCTCTCTTTTCCTATCAACTGCTTTGAGATCTGATGACAAAAAGAAGAGTTGGGTGTTTGCTCAACCATCCATTCCATATTTGGGTGCTGTTATGCATCGTATTGTACACTCTCTTTCAAGAAACATGGCATTGTATTTCCTATAAAACTGCAGATTTCCCTGCACAGAATACTATGTAATGATAGGGATACTTTTTGGAAGTCAAGAGTCTAGATGATACCTTTACAGTAGACACAAACAGGAGCAAAAATATTTTATGTTGGAGCCACAACTAGATTGATATCATTTTTTGTTGTATCTTCCTTGGTAACTAGAGATGATATCTTGAAAGCAACGAGCCAAATTGGCTTTCTGCTTTCAAGAACATCAAGATGATATAAAAAACTGCAGAATTACTACAAAACTTGCAAGAAACACTTTAGAAAATGGTTAAAATGTATTATGGGCCCATGCCACCCACTTCAACAGTGCTCAGACACAGGGTCATTTTCCTATGAGAGTCACTTTACATAACAACACTTAGTTTGTGTAATGAACCTTCACTTGACCTTCTGGCAATATGGCACACTTTATACAGGAAGTACAATAATTTTTGTTCGAGTTAATTATACATTTTTTTTGCAACTTTTTATTTCTATTTTAATTTCTGTTTTATTTATTTATTATTATTATTATACTTTTTATAATGTATTGATGCATTCTATGGAATACATTTTAAATTCATTATTTGGAACACATTAATATATAGTAGAGCATTAATTATCTGAATATCGATCAACTGAAACATTGGTTAACCAAAAGCATTCCTGTCGGCAAATTTAAATCTCCAGTAGTACTGTGGTGCTACAATATTTGGCTATGTCTTGGGTTACTCCAATATTATTTTTGTTGATGTGCATGTTTTAGCTGGAAGCACTGGCACGACCATGAGAGGGTACTTAAGGACATGCCAAGATTTGAACAAATTTCAGCATGGGATAGGTTAATATATTTTTTTGTACATAATCAGTTATCCAAAAAATTGATTATTCGAACAACCCCAGTCCCGAATTGTTTCGGATAATCAATGTTTTACTGTATATTTTAAATTGTAATGTTTCATTATTCTATACCTGTAGAAGGCAATCTGAAATTGTCGAAAGTACTTGTAGTAATATTTCAAGTAAAATAGTAACATTGACAGATAGTTTTAATATTTTGTTAAATTATATAGTGTTGCACAAAGCAGTTTTGAGCAATATATTGCAAAAGATCAAAATTGAAATGCTACAGAAAGGATGATTTATGCTAGTTTTGACATTTCAAGCTAAGTAAAGTTTGTTGCATTAACAAAACTGAATTCTAAATTCTAGAATACAATAAATATATATATATGTATTTTTTATTATGTCTTATATTAGCTTCCTTCATATGTAACAAATGGTAGTAATCTTGTTCTGTTTGCAGTTTTTCCATCACTTTGTATTGTCATCTGTAATCAGCTGAACCAGAAAGATCTACATTAGGCAATAGTTGTGGTCAGCTAGACTTAGACCTCACATAGTGTTCCTTCAGTTCTTCAGTAAGTTGGAGAATGAATCTGCAGAAAGAAATATTTTTGCTAGTCATTTTTCAATATATGACACAACCATTAATAGCATTGATAATAGCTAGGTCTACTATGATATAAAATACATAAATTGGCACCTACAGTATCGGTTCAAACAGAATAGAGCCGACTCATCTGATTCAGAAAACTCAACTGTCTCAGATTGTGTCATATTAGACAGACATAAACTACAGTAGAACCTCGAAAACTCGGCTCTCGATAACTCGGCCACACCCTGGCAGGGCAAAAAAATCCTTAGTTAATTAATTTTCATTATAGACAGCTTTATAAAAGTATAAAAGCTGTCATAAAGTATTTTTCTGAGGTCTGTCTTATCAGGTAAATTACTGTACACAGTATATTCATTAATTTTCATTTTCATGTAGTAAAGGCTCTATGCCTTCATAAAGTACATACTTTTCCTTTGTTTAAGGGTATTTGGGCAGTTTATTCTCTGTTGTATTCTCCAGCAAACAATACATACAAATACAGTACACTATTTTCTGAGGAAACACGCATACTTATCCTTTTTTAATCCCATTCCCGATAACCCGGCATTTTCACAAACTCGGCCACCCTTCGATCCACATTAGGCCGAGTTTTCGAGGTTCTACTGTATCAGGATTCGGTGTACTTTTAGAAGAAATTTTTGTTGTGTTTTCCTTAGTAGCAAGTCAGTAGAATACCATCCTTCATCTTCAGTAAGGTAGAATTGTATAGAGTAACTCTGAGGTTCTTTTACTTCCTATGGAATTTCTTTCCTACAATTTTTTTATAGTTCCCACAATATTAGTTTCTGCAGTCTGCAGTTTTTAGTCAATATTAGGGAAGTAAAGTAATTATTTTTCATAACATTACTTTCTTTCTCCAAATATGGAGCCAATAAAGATAAAACTACAAGCTCCTGAACAAATTCATTCTATGGTTGATGGTCATCCATACTTAGAAAAATTCTTTCTTAACTATGGCACTCCATTACAGAAATTCTCAGACCAAACATGTAGCAGAGTAAAGGACAGTGACATTTAAGTTGGATATAGCTGCTCATCAATGCAGAGTTATGGACAAGGATACATTTTTCAATAAATTTGAATCATATGATAGAAACTAGTACAAAGCTGTCTGATTTCAGTCTTTAGAATGAGTAGTACTGGAATTGAAATGAAATGAATAAATCTCATTATAGCTACAAAGGTCTCTCTTGTCATTGTATCAGGAAATAGTGCAGGTTCCCAGTTTTTTGGACCAAAGTTCTACAACTTTCAGGCTTCTGCAACCTAGAACATCCCTCAGGTACACTAAACTGATAAAAGCATTGAACTCTTTGAGAGTAATGTTCCATTCATCATTATTTTTTTCTTTACTTTCTGTTTCTGTGCAGACCTTTTGGTAATATTGATGCAATTGATTCCTCAAATAAATGCTAAAGTAGTGCTATGGTCTTTTACATTTTTTTTTGCATATGAAGTTAGCCTTGTCCTTGAAAACATTGCATTTGGCTCTTTACCAGTCTTTTGTACAGAATTTAAAACCTTCTATTCAATGCCATGATTTCTACAAAGAAACTTTACCCGGGGAAAGTTTTTATCTTTGCTTTGTCTTTTTCTTTTTTCTTCTTGTTTTACTGTATTTGCACTGAGAATTGAAGATACTAAAATATATTGATGCTGCATTAAATTATCCTCACTGGTCTCAAATCCTGGAAAAAAAAGTTTGTATGTTATTTTTTTCTAAGGTACAAAAGAAAAAGTAAGAGATGAAAAGGAAATTAAAATTATATTTTGAGGTTGCATTATAATTATACAAATCATCATTAGATGATTTTGACTTTATACTGGAGGTTGATAATTGTCATCATCCAGTGGCATGCCATCCATGGAAGTTGTGGAAGCACTGCTTCCCTTGTATTTTCTAAAATATAAATACATATTGTGTGAATTATTTTCATATTTTAACATACTTTAAATTAATTAAAATTAATATTTTATAACCACATTATATATCTCATTATGATAAGATTTCTATTGTATATTTGTATATAAATTTTTATATGCATATTTCCAGTGGAAGCTCTGTATTGTTGAATACAGGATAGCTTCCACAGCGAAGATATTTGAATGGTGTAAAGCAGCCAGATTATACACATTTGCACGTACGCTATACAGAGCATCAACCTCACACAGTTTAGCTCATGGATGCTACATACCAAAATATTGTATAACACTTCTAATAATTCTATCCAGTGCCGGCACAGCTTTCCTATCATCAAATGTCACCGCACACTACTGTCATCTTCACTATCATTCAAACACCAGTTACTTTCTGACATGTCATCTGGTATATCTTACAGAACAGCTAACACTATTCAACTTCAAGAAACATGTATGTCTAATGAGACATATAGATACAAACTGATACAGGTTATAACAAGAAAAGTCTTGTGCAAGCCCAGACTAGTAACTGTGCTTATGCAAAAAATACACACGATACTAAGTCATCACTATCAATGGATGGCTTTCAGGTATGCCTACATATATAGAAAACAGTAAACATTTATAATTGACTTTTACATGACCTGAAGCGAAACAAATGTACAAAGTGTTAAAAATTAACATATAGTCAAAATGACCATTGTTGGGGTTTAAGGTAAAAGTTGTATGAAAAGTTGAAATGATTATAGTTTTGTACTTTTAAACAATATTAGGAAGGAAAAATGAAAAATTAAGATCAAATTTGAAAACAAACCAGCATAGTACTAGTTTAAAAAGTAAAAATCTGTCAAAAATGACCATTTCAAGGTTTTAGTGTTCAAATATCTAAACATTCATAAATACAGTTTAAATATTGCACTTTTATAATAGGTATATATCACTTATTTATACAAATTTATTAATTTTTAATTATTCTTATGTAAAAATTGTATTTGTATATATAGATTACAAGGGATAATAATGGCTTTATGCTGTCATCATCAATGTACTTGGCAAACTTATGTTGGACGTACTTTTTTAGAAGAACAGAAATATAATCAGAGAGAATTCCAATTACTTTGTGGGATAGCAAGTTGGGCAACTTGTGGACGAATGCCTACACATTTTGGTAAAATTTTATTTATTATACAACAATTATTACTGCATTACAGTTGTTGTTATTGTTATTATTATTATTGTGTGAAATCAAAATATTTTAATTTGTTTGGCTTACCTTGGTTATAAAAACAGGTTTACCTTCATCAAAATTACATTGTAATTTTAAAATATTTAAAAATATGTAAACTGAAAATACTCAGTAATTTATGCATGACAAATAATTTCATGACATAGTTACAGTAAATAAACCTGCAGTTATAGTATACAGTTTTCTTAGAAAATGGCACAATTATGTTCTGTTGAAAATACTGATTACTATGCGGTACAGTATTTTATATAAATAATAGGTTATTTTCACTGATTACTTTCTAGATAATTAACTGAGAAGTCAAGGTTCTATAAATTTTTTATATATATGTATAAAAATTACATTTTTCCTATATAATAATAAATAACAGATAAAAGATATCAGCTATTACTACAGAATACAATTAAGTAGAATGATGGAGAGAATAGTTAAACATCTGTTATTTTTAATTCGTTTATATTTGGAAATGCAAGATATTTGGATTTTTCCATTTAATGTTAACATTATCTTTTAATTATATATATATCTTTTATCAGTTTATGAAATAATAAAATTACGTCAAGAATATTTACATGTAATATTGATAATTTTTTTACAGTTTTAAAATTTTAATTATACCTGATTAAATCACTGCAATTATGATTTATTTTGTATAATATAATAGGAAAATATTTGAAAGCTTATGAGAAACATGCATGTAATTAAACATTTATATCATTTATTTTTAATATATTGTTATAGATATTCTTGTAAAAAAGAAAAAATTTGTTCATCTCCACTTGTTCTTTTATTTATGAAACTATTTTTAAAATATTTAAATAGGAAATCAGATTGATTTTATTTTGTACAATGTTTAATTATTATCTCCATGTTGATTTTGTTAATTGATCAAAAACTATTTTTTCTCCAATCTAATGCTTTGTTTCGGTTCACTGACTATCTAAATATATAAAATTACTTGTCCTGACTGACTGACTGATTCATCATCACCCAGAGCAAACCAGTGAACCTAAAGAGGTGAAATTTGGTACACAGTTAGGGTAAGTCATGAAAATTCACACTAAGAAGGGATTTTTCAAAATTTCCCCGCAGGGGGAAGAGGGAGAGAATTAAGGCTTAACCAGAAGAACGGCTTCTACTGTACTATTTTAGATGCGATTTTTTGTTTTCAACTACATTTAGTCTTCATTGAGCTCTTAGGTGTATTAACTTGATAACATTTCAGACATTGTTATAAATATTTTTTATCTATTTCAATTTTTTAACCAAATGTTTGAACCGTTTTAAATTCGAATTTGTTATTGCATATTGGTTCGATTATAGAATGATTGTAAACGTTCTGGAAAACTGTTCAAATTGAAAACAGTTCATTTCGTTCTCAGCAATTCTCATCATTATCAGCGATAGGTGTTATATAACAATTACTATGGTTGTTGAAATACTGAATATAAATGGGGTTTGCTTGCAAAATCCTCGCAGGCAAAGCCGCAGGTAACAGCTAGTAACTAATAATCTATGCTCTGAATTCACACTTCTGCATGATATATAGATATTTTTATATAGTAAAATTAATACATTTGTGAAAATAGAATCAAGTAAATTGACCTATTTTACATATTATTAAAGGATTTAGAACAGGGATTTCAAACTAGCATTCTGTGGGCCAGATACAGTCCAATAAGGCTTTATATCTGACCTGCAGCATTGATTTCTTTTCTAAAAACAGTGTTTCTAACATCTTGCGCAGGGATTAAAACAGAAAAAATTCAAACTTCTAACTGTTTACCTAAATTCTAAAGACCTGGAAACAATGGATCTTTGATAGAGCTCTTTTTTTTTTTTTTTCTTTTTTAGTTAATACTGTTTTGGTTTACTGAATAATAATGTATATCAGATTTGGACCATATTTATATATTTGACTGGCCTTTTGCTGCATTTGAGTTTGAGATTCCTGATTTAGAAAGATAAAATATATTGAAATTTTTATTTGGTTACAAAATTTAGACTTACTTCTTTAAATTTCTTAATTAAAACCAGATAATTTGATGAATTGTAACTCTAAGTTGATAATTAGATACAAAGTAAATTTCTTAATGAAATATTGGATAATAAAATAATTTTGTTAGAATGGATACTTATGATTTTTTCATTATTTTTCTTTCTGAAAATTCATATTATTCTAAGTTTTTGTTTATGTTGTTATAAATTGAGTTAACTTGTTTGTGTAATATAACAACACTTGTTTCTTATTAATTTACCATCTTTTTACATTTAAGTATTAGATCATTAAAGAAACAATACAGCTTTAATATTATCTTATAATATTAAACTTTTATTATTTATATTTAAGTAAATTATTTATGAAATAAAAAAGTAGTTTTGAAGATACTTATATTAGAATTTATAAAATTTATTGTAATTTCAACTAAAAATTTGAAATTTTTCTTATTACAGTACAAAGCCAGATAAAATTACTCCTTTTTTGATCATTTAAATAATTTAAAAGCAATTGAAATTTAAAATAAGTTTTCATTTAAATTACAGGATATGTCTTTAAATTATTTTGTCCTTTAGAGAATTCATTTTAAAATGTATATTTGCCAAAGGATGAAGTTCTTGTATATATAAATTTACTAATTCATTATTAACAAAAATATGATTTCAGTTACTTTTTTGTTCAAAGTATGAAATTTATATTCTTATAGAAGTTATAAATGTTTTTAAAATTTTAACAGGTCATTTTATCTACAATTGACTAAAAATGATGCTTTAATTGATTTGTTGGCCATATAGGGTATAATTGTTAGTGTTAATAACACTTAACATAGTTAGAAATGTTAACAATTTAAATTATTATGCTGTAAACAAGTAACAAATAATTGAAATGATAAATTTTGAAAGCACTGGTTAAGACCAATACTCTGCTATCATCTATATATGTTGAAGTCGATAACATGAAAAGACAGCTTAAAAATTTAACTGAAGATAAAGATAAGTATAACTGAAACTCTGATAACAATGGGCAAAGTTTTATGAGTGTTTTATTATTTGTATCAGAATTAGCATAACCCAAAACATAACATTAAGTGACTGATAACAATATCAATACAATAAAGAGATGTTACTGAATATACTTCTAAATATAAAATATAGAAATTATAAGCGTATACTTTTAATTAACTGTTTTGTTTTCATGATTATCTGTTAATCTATATCAGTTTTATTTCTATAATTTTATTTAATTATATGAATGTTAATGTTATCAAAATTCATGAATTAGGAAGCAATAATAAATCAGTTTAATTTATTACAGTATATCATGCGGCCCAATTATGTGGGCATTGTCACAATAAGCTGGGAGGGGGAAAAACATTGTTTCCTGAAAAACATTTACTGAAAAATAAATTATTTAAAGACAGAATCTTTTAAAAATTTTAGCAAGAATATTCTGATATCTTTCTTTACCAGCTATAACTGAACAAAATTGGTGCTTACATCTAAAGCAGATAAAGGTCTGTTTCCATTTCCTTTCTGCATGAAATATTGTTTGAATTCAGCAATATGTTCTCAAGCATCACTTGCTCAGTCACTTCAGTATATCACCATATATTACTTGGTTCTGAAGTCTTGTTTTGCCACATTTTGTTCAGTAAAGTCAAAATTGCTTTGTCCCAAACTAACTTCTTTCAGGCCTAGTAAATTCAAGAATATCTGTAGAATATCATTTTTTTACTTTGAATCTCAATCTAAAGTGCAACTTGTGATAATTGACATAATTGTGAAGCAAGTAGAAGACACTGTCCATAGTTTCCTGTTAAACATGATTGTCACTATCTGAAATAAGCAACATAAATTTACATTAAATGAATTGATTTTTGCTTTTTGTGTTTTGTGGCCCAAATAAATAGCTGTCCCAATTAAGCAGTTTACAATATTTATATTAACTAATATCAAAAGTTTATTTTTGTACTTAAACACACAATACTTTGTTGTTGTTGTTGTTGTTATTGTTGTTTTTATTATTAATTTATTAAAATGAGAAAGTTTTAACTGTGAGCCGCCGGGGAGGTTGGGAAGTCCTCTCCTTCCAGCCACAGGTCAGTGACCTACTTTCTTATCAAGGATGGCGTTTCATTCAGTTACGCATTACACAAGTGGAGGAGAGTCGGAGGGGTCGACGATAAGACGTTGGCAAAGTCGAGTAACAACACCATTTAAAAACAAAACAACAGTTTATTTAACTCGCTAACTAAATAAAAATTTACAAAACTCCTTTGACTTCGCGGATGAGAGAGAGAGAGTTCACAATAATATTTCATACCTCTGAGATAATATCGGATGGATATTCCGGCTTTAATTGTTCCTAAAGGTGGTGCGGGGTGTGGACCCAGGTCTTCCAATTAAGGTTGTTCAGTAGGTATAAGGGAAGTTAATGTCCGTCTTGGTCATTGTTCGTTCGATTGGCGACTCCCCCGAGAGGGTATGGAGGAGGGCTTTTATACGTTTTGTGGTGGAAAAATTCGTCAGGTGACCAATTGTTTTAGCAGGTGTGGGGTTAAAGTTGGTGTTAGAATGACAACATTATGATGAATTTCACTGGTAATTGTAAACTATATATGGGTTGATCGTGAGAATGTTTATATTTAAATAGAAAGAGTTATAAACTTCTCATGCACTTTATATTTCGTTTCTGTAGGTTCAAATTCCTCTAGTTAAAGGAATTTATTATAAATTTAAAGGATTAACTTCTTTTATGAAATTATATGAACTTCGAATTTCACATAACTTTTTTTGTAATTATTTTTATTAGCAACCTTAAATGATTCAAAAATTATTTATGATTTAATCATATGTTTTAATCTGTAATAATCTATTTTGTTATTAAAAGCTTTAATAAAATAAGTTTTCATTTAATGATGCAA